GTTAACTTTACAGAATTTGTGCATACTTCATTTTTTAAGACATAACCTTTTAAGCAATACAAATTATTAATTTTATCAGCAACAACTATCAACTCTCTAGACTCATTATATATTTTAGCACTTCATTTTTAGCTACTATTGTACAACTATTAGTTACCTTTGAAAAACTTAATAAATTTTGTTTTATTCCTTCGACATAATAGACATTTTCTAAATCTACATACTTCACACTATAATAGTTTTTGAAATACATTTTTACAGTACCTACTTTGGTTGCTTTCAAGGTTTTTCCATCTGGTAATTTTACATCAACAAAATCTTTCAAATCTACACTGTCATAAAAATATGAATAATCATTTATAAGATGGTCAGTGCACCCACTATCTAAAAGCCAATTAACTACATTACTATTATTATTAAATGTTACCTTTTCATTACATCCGGATACCTGGTTTACTTCTGGTTTACATACTTCAGCTGTCCATGACTGGAGGGACCGTTGCTCGAAGAAGATTCACTCTTTAGGATGATTGCTAGATGAGTGGCCTTGACCTCTGCCTCGGCTGCGACCTCTGTAGGATCCTCTCTGATGTCCTCGCTGACCCCGACTAGACGACTGGAAACTTCCTTGAGAACTTTTTTGTCCTTGATTATTTCTCTGAGCGTGCCAACAATCCTTCTTGAGATGACCAGTCTTACCACAGACAAAACATTGAGCTCTTGTGGTGCTGGTTGTATATGTACTCACATTATTTTTCTTGTCATCGCACATAGTCATATTTTTCTCCTTTATTTTTGAATGTAAATAGTCCACAGTCCTTTGTTCTTCAGGAATCACGTCCAGAAAATCTCCTATATAACTATAACTTGGTGGTAGGGCTCTGAGCAGGTATCTTAACTTTTCAGGTTCATCAATTTTACCTCCGGCTGTTTTGAATTCGTTTATGGATTTTTCAAAATCAACGAAGAAATCCTCTACTGTGTCGTAATTATTTAATTTGATCGCTTCCACTTTTCCTCGACATATAATTTGAAGAGATGTTGATTGAGTAAGATACATTTTGTCGAACTTTTGTAACATGTCAAAAGCTGTCTTGCACTCAGTGATATATTCTAATTGTTTGTCCGAAATAGTACTCATAATAATAGTCCTTGCCTTTAAATCCATCTTCTTCCATTCCGCTTCTGTATTTTTATATTTCACCGGCATTATGCCTATGGCGGCCTCGTTGCATTCTTTGTATTCCAACAAAGTAACCAACCTTAATTTCCAACTCGAATAGTTTGCCCCATCAAAAATAGGTATCATGATGTCTTCTATTTTAGCTTGTTGTGCCATATTTACGTATATTCTTGTAGATTCAGACGTTTTCAAAACTCACTTTTCCGTTGTGACCGGATAACCTCAATCGTAATTTGATTTCATAATTGCACTTCATATTTATTGACTTTTTCGTGAAACCACTTAACCACGCTCTGCTACCATGTTGAAGTGGTGGATGTGGTTGAATAATAGATAATAGCTTGTTATATTTCGTAATTTTATTAAAAATCTCACAGAAAGCACATGATGGGCGCCATGCAGACGACAAAAAGGAAGAACACAGATAATATATCGACGTCTATGAGAAACTTGCCAACTTAACACTAGATGGCGCTACTTATATTATTTAACTTAAGATTATAATATTTACCTTATTACAACAGTTACATTTATACACCCACAACGTACATTTATAATTTATATATCAAATTAAAGCAATTTTTTTTCTGTATATTATTATATACGGTTGCTTAATTAAATCTGGCCGCCAATAAGGGTTGCTGGCTAATAAATATAGTAAATATTAAAAGTAGAGTGAAAGAGAGCTAGCGCGTAACACCACTAGTCACTAGGTACGACTCAAAATAATAAATACTCCAAAAGAAACGTCTTTCTTTTCTAAAATAAAAAATTAAAAAGTCAACGACAAATTTAAAAATTACAAAAAAAATGAATATTGATGATAAATAAAATCAAGGTTACTTATGTAAAAAAATTGTGTTGTACAAGTACTGTATGAAAAAAGATTTAATTTTATTCAAGTATTACATTTATTTTACATATTCATCAATCATCAGTTTTACCTTCAAGCGGGCGCGTAGTCATTTATAACGGGAGCAGGCGCGCGTAACCGAAAAGACCTATGGGATTAATAAGAGAAATAAAGCACTAATTATTCAATATTTATTTATTTATTTGTACTCAGATTTATTATCATTGTCTTTAAATCGTAATTTGTCAAAAAAAGTAATTATTTTCATGAAAAACAAACAATTATTAGATTAATTAACATAACTCAAACATTATACAAATCAAATCAAAAATTAGGAACACAAACCCCTTTTTATATATCTAAGACTAGTTTATATACCTTATCTAATAACAAAAATTACGAATTATGAATACTAATAATAATTAACTTTGGTTTGGTTTTTTTAAAATTATAAATTTTTAAAATGTATTATATTTGTATTATACTTCCATGACTCTTTTTTAAAAATCTGAATCATCGGAGCTCTCAGTCACACTATCATCGCAGCTATCACTTTCATCAGAAATATCGGTATCGTCGTTATTATCGGAAGGCTTGTTCGTGGAATCACACAGCACATTCTCAACTTGCGCTGGAGTTGGATCTCCCAGGAACCATGTTGGTTTTAAAAAACCATCTAACAGCAGCCAGCCATTATTTTCCGCGCTGAACTTGATGCAATCCCGCTCAGTAGCATTTAACCACATCGAATTAACAAAGATGGTTCGCAATAATTTTTCCTTTAAAGATTTCCAGCATGGTGGAATGTGCGTTGAGTCAAAACCTTTAATTCTTCTCATAAATTTCTCACTACTTCCTTTTGAAGCGTACATTTTGTTGAATAATAAAAATCTTGCGGCATTTACACTTTGGCACTTTGGGAGTCCATACATAAGGCACGTAAAATGTTGAACTGCATCGCTTTTGGTTTCGTTAAAAATGTCATTCGGATTCTTCAAAGACGCAAAAACTTGTTGAATTTGTGGGTGCTTAATAAATAAATTCAAAGGTCTAACTTTTCCTTTGCTAAAGAACGCAGCTGTGTAGTCGCAACCCGTAAATGCGTGAAAAGCAGGCAAAGCAAGACATAAAGTTGCGCCTAATTTTATTGATAAGTCCGTGCAATTGATGTAATCTTCATCCTTATTATTTTTTTTTTTTGATGTACTGTTGGCCAACCAAATTTGCAAATTAGGAAATTTATGGATATTGCCTAATAAAATTATTAAAACATCAGTGTCTGCTGCTTTCACCAAAATAAAGATTCAAGTGTTAATAAAATGTCATGATATTTATATTTTTTCTTGCGACGAAACAATAACATTAGAGAACACTTTTTGAATGAAGCATTATCAAAGTCTAGTACATTGCATTTTTTGTCGCACAGGAAATACGCCTTCATCCTTATAAATTTTATTTCACTTAAATGAGATTGATAATTTTTCGATGCACAAATAAAACAGCATTTTTTTTTTGATCCGTTGACAACACTAACATCTGACGCATGCGCAATGGCTTTAAACCGTCTGACAGCTGGCAATCGCTATCCTCGTCTGACTAGTGGTGTTACGCGCTAGCTCTCTTTCACTCTACTTTTAATATTTTGTATATTTATTAGCCAGCAACCCTTATTGGCGGCCAGATTTAATTAAGCAACCGTATATAATAATATACAGAAAAAAAATTGCTTTAATTTGATATATAAATTATAAATGTACGTTGTGGGTGTATAAATGTAACAAATTCATACCTGTGTATACCTGGCTGCGAAGAGGTGCGGCCAGGTGCGCAACGGCAACCATAATTTTTCAGAGTCTTTATAGATGTTGCCGTGAAGTAGACGACATTTCATTGAAAAAAAAAGTCAGTGAAATTTCTTACGGATTATGAATTATTAATAATTTAATTAAAAATACTAGCGGCCACATTTTGATAGGCAACCTGGTGGATATAAATTCTCCTAATCATGAATATGTGTAAAAATTTGGTTTTCAGCAAACACTCGATGGGTACACTGATTCTGCAGCCGGATCTCGTACTACCAGCTTAATGCCATAAAAAAGTGTAAAAATATGAACAACATTTTAAAAACAAAATAATTATCTTGTTAATTGTAAACAGCAAAAATTGACAATATTATTTAGGTCTCATGACTTAAGATACCGACAACCAATGAGACGGAGTGTAGGGATTTCAATTATTGTTTATTTGGCTTCGAAATAAATTTTTACCTTTTTAAAATATGTATGAACAAGCTTGATTCTTGTCTCTTTTCTTTGAGGTATACGCAGAGTCAATCATTCATCGTTATTTCAGTGCATTAAAGTTAATTTACCTTTGACTTTGATATAATTAAAAAAACCCTATAAAACGAATACAAGATAGATTTCTGTTCATTGATTTTGAATTGTTCAAAAAAGCTAATTCTCGTCTTGGCAACATTTTGCATGATTCTTATGGGATTGTTGTAAACATAAAATCAAGTTCATCATTTTTCAAAGACGTGCAGAGGTGTTCATCTTACAGAACCTATAATTTAACGTAATATATACAGAACAATAGTTGTGAACTATGTAAACTATGCAAGCTGTTTATCATTCTGGCCATGACGAACGCTAATTGTACATACATTTTAGTTGAATTGAATTGTACATACATATTTCAGATCCAAATCTGCAGCTAAACAAACACCGAAGTAATTTGGTACGAAGGCTACCAATAAAAGAGGGAGCTGTTAAATCCATTGGAACAATAACGAACTTGGTGGACACAAATATCCAAACAAAGCCAGAAAATGAGAAAGCTTTAAAAGACAAGGCTAAAGTAACTTTACCTGACATATCCAATTCAACTAAAAAAACTAAAAGCCCAAATGATGGTAACAAATCAAGCGGAGTGAGTTGTGAATGTGTATGCGATGGGGGCATGAACACTGGAAATGCCACATGCGAAGGAAATTGCCAAGGTTTTAATACTAGAAGTGTTTCTGCAAACGATGGAAAGCCAAAAACTTACGGTAGTGTTTGTGATGAGAAGGCTGAATGTGCTTGCTATGGTAAAGCAACTGATCAAAAAAAACAAAAGAAAACCAAAGACAAATCGACCAAAGCAACTGATACAGATAGTCCAAAACCTATCAAATCTTCTGACAAAACCACACCAACTGGAGTTGACCGTAATACTTCAATGAGCCCAAAGGATAAATCGATTCCAGAATCTGCTAGTAAAAGTCCAATACTTGACCCTAAATCTAATGTTAAATACCCTAGTTCAACAAGTCCCCCAAGTTCAAAAACTCCCCCGAATTCAATATGTCCCCCAAGTCCAACATGTCCCCCAAGTCCAACTTGTCCTCCAAGTCCAACATGTCCTCCAAGTCCAACATGTCCTCCAAGTCCAACATGTCCCCCAAGTCCAACGTATCCCCCAAGTCCAATATGTCCCCCAAGTTCTATAAGTAAACCAAAAGAATCCACAATGCCTAAATCTGATAGTGAAAGTACAAAATCTTCCTTGAGTCCTAAAGATTCGTCAAGACCAAAAACTGACAGCCAAGGCACACCTTCTTCAGGCTCTAGTATTGAACCTACTGACAAAACCCCTAAAGTGAAAGTGGGCAAAAAGACTATTTTGGATCCTAAAGATCTTCCGAAAACTGGTAGTCAAAATATAAAACTAGGTTCTGAAATGGATATTGAAATTCCTGGCAAAATCCCAAAAGTTAAAGTCGGCAAAAAGACTATTTTGGATCCTAAAGATCTTCCGAAAACTGGTAGTCAAAATATAAAACTAGGTTCTGAAATGGATATTGAAATTCCTGGCAAAATCCCAAAAGTTAAAGTCGGCAAAAAGACTATTTTGGATCCTAAAGATCTTCCGAAAACTGGTAGTCAAAATATAAAACTAGGTTCTGAAACGGATATTAAAGTTCCTGGCAAAATTCCAAAAGTTAAAGTTGGTGAAAAGACTATTTTGGATCCTAAAGATCTGTCTTTTTCAAAAACTGGTAGTAAAAATATAAAACTTGGCTCTGAAACGGATATTAAAGTTCCTGGCAAAATTCCAAAAGTTAAAGTTGGTGAAAAGACTATTTCGGATCCTAAAGATCTGTCTTTTTCGAAAACTGGTAGTAAAAATATAAAACTTGGCTCTGAAACGGATATTAAAGTTCCTGGCAAAATTTCAAAAGTTAAAGTTGGTGAAAAGACTATTTCGGATCCTAAAGATCCGTCAACCCCGAAAACTGATAGGGAAAGTACTGACAAAACTGGTCCGGTAAAGAAAACTTCATCGAGACGAAAGGATAAGAAGAGCAAAACTTCATTAGCTCCAACTGATCAGAAGGAATCATCAAGTCCAAGAGATCAATTTACCCCAAAAGTTGAAGGTGAAATCCCACCAACTGGTAAGAAAGCTTCAATAAGTCCCACGGATTCAGCAAGGCGAAAATCTAGTAGTAAAAGTCGAAAAAGCAGCCCTAAGAAAACTCCAATAGTAAATCCTGCACAAATTGTACAAAATCCTGTTCTTAAGCTTAGTTGTGGATGGATTGATCACAAAAAGCTGATGAAATTGCGATCAGAAATGTCTGTCGAAACATCAGGGTTCAAAGCATGTAAAAGAAAACGTAAACCACCACCAATAGACCGCTCAGTTGAATTGGACTTCGAAGAAGCAGTCAAGTATTATACAACTAAAAATCCGCATCTATTCAGTGACTTGATACAAAAGAGTTTAGAAGGCACAGTTTATGAAGAACAACCTGAAAAACCTGCGCTTACAAAATCGGAAAGGGCAAAGAGCATCTTTAAGAAATTATTACCAAAATCCAAACCACTGGACCCAGAACCACCAATAGAAGAAATTCAAGAATTGTGCGAATGCCCTTACGGACGAATTCCTCCACCTATAGGATACCACCCTATTCCTGCTATACCTCCCAGACAATTAGCTAAATTGTATCCAAAACGCGGCTTAAAACTTAGTGTTGGTGGTAAAGGCTCTCTATCACCAGGGTTGCCTGATTTGTTTCCTTTGATATCAAAGACTCAAGATCGCTGTATTGACTGATTATTGAGGAAGTTATATTGGTTTTCTTATTAAAAGTATGTTAGGTAGCTTTGATGTATTTTTTTTTTATAAAATATTTTGTTTTTGTTGTTTTCATTTTTATGAAATATATTTTAATCAATTATTATTTTTGTGTTAAATATTCAAATAACCACACAAATATTTCCAAAATTTGCGTCACGTAGAATTTGCGACATTTGTCGTGGCTATTACTAGTGAGATCAAAACTTTATCATTTTTAGAACGAGCACCTAGCTTTACTGACAGACAGACAGACAGACTGACGGACAATCCAATTTTGATAACCTTATCAAGGATTAATTTTAATATATGCTTTGACTTTGAATAAAGAATTGACTACCAATGCTAGTTGTCTTAAGCCGACTTGTGACGATGAAATATTCACGCTATCATACATTTTATACGAGACCGTTCACACCAAAGTGTCCTAAATTCTGGCCCAAAGTGCTAACCTACATTAATGAGTCTATTTGGTGATGTTTGACCAATACACCTTGGAGAGTATGAGGATCTCGGTACAGTCGTAGCGAGTGTTTAGTAGCTCTTTCTCGCTTCTTTCCGTAACAAACATAATGCCAATAAGGTATAAAGGATGCTAAAAACACGCTTTTAATCATATTTCATATATTATGTCACTGACACAAGCATAGACTTTTAACACAGAACTCGCTTACAACGATTTGTAACAGTTTCCACGCGTTGATGTCTTTTATTTGTAGAATTTAGCTATCAGAAATATGTTATTTATTAAGCTCTGGCTAGTTTTGATTCACAGAGAAACTCTTTTCCGTGTCCCTTTGTGTCTCTCTGTAACTCGAAACAAGTAGAGATTTTCTCAGTATTCATTATTTTATCAATTGAGGTATACAAAAATCCTATCAACTCACGTAATTAGAGTATAAAAAAATAAAGGACTTTTAAAAAAGCGCCGTCATTTTCCTTGTTTTTTGAAGTCAGTTAATGTAAAACCTGCTTCTAATCTAATCCAAAATTATATAAATTATGTAACATAATTTTTAACCCATTAATTTATAGAGTCATTGAAAATAAGTAAAATCAATCATTGTGAGCAAGGCAAGTAACAATGTGGCCGAGTTATATGTCCTTTTAAGGATTACTTAAACTCCAGTGACAAACAGTGAAGGAACATCGTGAGGAACTTGAACTTATAATTTCTAATTATAAGTTTGAAATTGTCAACCCGTATTGAGCAAGCGTGGTGAGAAAAGCTCAAGCTTCTTCGTCTTAGAAAAAGTTATTGATAATAAACCACTATTCAAAAACAAAAGCGAGGATTGTTACGAAATAGTAACGGTAAAACACCTTTTTTTGTAATTATTTACTAACTAGCTTTTACGCGGCTTCGCTCGCGTCACAAAAGAATAAAAAGTAGCCTATGTGACATATACCAATACACACAGCGCCATCTATACTAATACTTTTGTTTTTCCTCGGGAATATCAATTTTCCGGGTTAAAAAGTACCCTATTATTTAATCCGGGCTTCTAACTTTACGTCTGCAAAAATTCAAAGCAATCGGTTGAGTAGTTACGGCGTGAAGGTGGAACAAACAAACAAACTCACTTTCAGATTTATAATATTAGTAAGGACAATCGATCGATCGATCAATTGATTTGAAGTGAAGTGAACATACACGGGTGGGTGATTTCCGCCATTCAAAACCAGTGCATTTACTTTGAGCGGGGCTTAGTTAGGTAGTGCGACCGCGAAAAAAAATCCGTAGTGCAACTGTAGCCAAACGACGGCAGTACCTATTAATTGTTATATACTTACTGACCGGGCACTGACCCTTCTTCTTCTTCTCCTCTTATAATATATTCTGATTCACTTCGTTGCGGGAACCAAGACTCATGTCACTTACTCATGTCCCTGGGACGCGCCGGACTTCAATGTTCCGGTGTTTTCAAGGTTGTATCTACTGTAGATCCTGGCTTACAGGAGTTGCAGCGGTTTTGGGTGGCTGTGGCGGGCTTGTCCCATAAAAAAAATAACTGACCTGGCAAACTTCGTATTGCCTAAAAGTTTTTTCTTACTTTTTAATCCTTCCTTGGACTTCCACGAATATTTCAAGACAAAAATTAGTCAAATCGGTTCAGCCGTTCTCGAGTTTTAGCGAGAGCAACGAACGGCAATTCATTTTTATTTATATAGATTACACACGCTATGTGCACAACATACAACACTCTATACATAGTTTATGTTCTAAGTGGTTAAAGCTCTATAACAGTTGTACAAGCCTGTAGCCTGGAACTGAAATCAATTATCTAACTAAACTTCACTTGTTCCAGTTAAACACAAAAAGATCATTAACAATTTGAATCGTAGTCCTGAAGTGGAATGTGGCTGCTATAATGAAATTTCACTTGCTGAAGGCCAGTGGTGGAGAACTTTCAAGTGGCCAAAGAATCCATCAAGCTCGAGAATTTGGCGTAGAAGCCTTAAAACCGAAAGTGGAGCTGCAGCTGATAATGATGTTATTTGTTTATGCGACACAGATGGCGAATATTCAAAAACAAGTCCAAATGGTGAAGTAATTTGTGAGTGCAATGAAGTAGAAGACAACTATTCAACTTTTAAAAGTACTGAGGATTCTGAAATCGAGCCGTATCCTGCCAGGGATAAACTGCAACCAATATTGTGTGATCCCCTAAAAAACATGCACCAGAACAAAATGGCACAACTACTACCGCAGCCGTGCCTTGCCACGGGTAAAACGCAATCAATATTGTGTGATCCTCAAAAAAATACACAACAGAACAAAATGGCACAGCTACCGCCGCAGCCGTACCCTGCCACAGGGAAACTGCAATCAATACAGTTTGATTCTCAAAAAAACACGCAACAGAATAAAATGGCACAACTACCACCGCAGACGGGCCCCGCCACGGATAAACTGCAACCAGTACTCTTTGATCCCCAACAAATCACGCAACAGAACAAATTGGCACAACTACCACCGCAAGTGCCGCTAATACCGCCACAAGTATTGTCGCAAGTTCCGGTACAAGTACTGCTGGAGATACCGCCTAAATCAGTCAGACAAAATCCAGTAGTGAAGCTTGATTGTGGATGGATCGATTATAAAAATTTGATGAAAATGAGATCAGATCTCTCTATTGAAACATCAGGCTTTAAGGCATGTAAAAGAAAACCAAAACCACCACCAATAGATAGGTCAGTTGAATTAAATTTTGAAGAAGCAGTCATGTACTACACGAGTAAAAATCCGCATCTGTTCCGTGATTTGGTGCAGCAGAGCTTAGAAAATCCTATTGACACTGATGGTAAAGTAAAAAAACAACATGAAGTAAAAAAAGAATTATCTACGGCAAGGAAAATATTTAATAAATTCAAACCAAAAGTGAAGCAAGAGGAACCAGTGCCACCGCAACACGAATATGAAGAGTTGTGCGAATGCTCTTACGGATGCATTCCTCCACCGATAGAGTACATACCTGTGGCTGCTTTATCTCGGAAACAGCGAGATAAATTGTATCCAAAAGGCTTAAAACTTCACTTTGGTGGTAAAGGCTCTCTTTCACGAGGGCTCGCTGATATCTGGCCTTAATATGCATTAAGACATGTAATAATTTTATTTTGTTGGTAAATAGTTGATCAAGGGTCTCCAATCATTACCAGAGTTTTTATGACTTTAAGATATTGTCTACTTACTTATATAGTAATGTTTTGCTGGAGAGCTGTCGTGTTACTTATCAACATTACCAGGCGAGTTGGGGCGCTACTCTTCGGTCTCTGCTATTAATACAGTCCCTTAGTCGGCTTATGAGGCAGGTTATGTGTACTTCTCATGGTCTAAAAGTAATACCTAATTAAAAGAAGTCGGTTAATGAACTAAGGTTTAACTTGTAATGTACCATTGTTTCGATTACAGTGGAATTGTTTATCAATGAAAACAGATAAGGATTTCAGAAATGTGAACTGGGCCATAAAGTTTATGAGTATAGAAAATCAAATTTAGAGTGACTACAGAAGAAAAAGTAGCCACAAAACCACTCGTAACTAATTAGTAGATAATTAAGAGCATAGAGATCTCCAGCTAGGTACATTTCATTTCTATGTTATATGTATGCAGTAGGCGTGTTGATTTCAGCATCTATTTCATTTGATTACGTAAGGATCCTATGTATGTACTTTGGCATTTTGTGTTAAAAAATTTTGTGTGAACTTTATTGTTCAAAGAATTCGATATTTTGAAACGATACCTTTATAACTTCAAATACCTACCAAAATGCACAATATTCGTTTCCTGTATGAAATGCAGTATAATTTCTAGTTTTCCACCTGCGGCTTTAACTGCATCGAATTTAGAATTGTTATCTTCAGTTGGTTCTATCTACTTTTATTATATACTAGGTGTTCCCCGCGACTTCGTCCGCGTATAATAATGATGTCTGGCATATTGTGAGTTTTTAATTGTTCTTCTCCAAGGTTATTTCCAAATCTGTGTAACAAATCTCATCAGAATCAATTCACTTATATTTATTGTAAAATATCGTTCATTTTAGTGATTACAAAACAATCACACAGAGATTTTACTCGTATAGTATCAATCAAATAGGTACAGCAGTTAATAATATTATTATTCAGCCTCTTTGGATACCTTAATGAACTTTTTTTTATTAATAAAAACAATTTAGTAACAAAAGTTGTGAATGATCCATTGGCATAAAACTCACAAAAATATGTCAGATAACAGAGAAAGATACATTTAATATTATAAATTTGTGTATGTCTTTTGGTTTTGTTAGAAAAAATTAGGGCACCAATTCTTTATTGTCTTTTGTAAACCTGCCATCTATACTTTAAAAGTGCGCGAGCGCAACTGTGGGTAGAAGCCATGAATGGAATGTATTCAGTTAATTGAATTCATCTTTTTTTAATCTCTTATTTTGATGCAGCTAAATACTATGATTACTCCTTGAAAACAGTATTCTATTGGCAGTCAAAGGCTTAAGCAATATAAGATTATTGGTCGTATTTTCACACATCGGGTTACATTTTCGAAATTTTTACACGGTTCCCTTTTTCTCTCTTAACAAATATAGCCTATGTTTATCATCGATAATGTATGATTCCAACGGTAAAAGAATTTTTCAAATCGGTCCGTTAGTTACGGAGGAGATTCCATTCAACCAAATAAACAAAAAATCAAATGTTTCTTCTATATATATATTTTTTTTTTAATATAAGGGCTTTGTCGCTTAGCGACCATATCGCCCAGTTCTATATATTATTTATTAGTGTCAATTCTTATTATAGCATAGAAATAACCTATATTACTTTCTGAAAAAACATAGGCCTCTCCAAACCACTGAGCTTAATCTTCTCAGCTACTTCAGAAAACTAGTCATTTTGCTATCTTAACCAAGCAACGTCAGTCGGATCACCTCGGATCGTCTTGGATGCGATCCTTCAGAGAGACTCCGAACATAGTCTCTATAGCTCGCTGTGATGTGGACCAGTTGCATCGTGAACGTCCATTTTTCATAAGGTCGTTACCGGCAGAACGCATTCATTGAAAACTTTTTCAGTCATACTAATTTCAAATCTTTATCAGTTATTTTTATCTCATTTGCTATAAGTTGCGCTTGCCGGTACGGACGTCCATCCGCAAGGTAGACAGACGACCTGATCAAGGTCGCAGGCTATGGCTGATATGATGGTGATGATGCTAAAAGTTAGATAAAATATTTTTAAATCAGTACTCTTATCAACGTCTATGAGCCTGTCTACATATCTTTGTAACATTACGTCAACGTAACGTGCACGTACCGTTCCACGTTGACGACGTGAGAGATGAGATGTAGACTGGCTCTTACCCTAGTGATCATATCTCAAGCTACAGCGCTTACGACACGACACTTTGTGTGCCAAGGAACTTACATGTCATGTAAGCCCACGCAGGTCCTTCATTGAATCCGTAAACAAATAAATAATTTAAAACAGCGCTTGCAATAAATTATTACCAATAAATCATTTTAAACATTTTATTTTTAGTTTGAAGTTACCAGTGAATATAATCTGAAGCATGATTTCTATAATAAAAGTAAGACCCATGACGATCTCTTTCTGCACACAGAATAGTTTACAAATTAATCGTACTGTAAAATATAAATAATTTAGTGTACTTAAAATGCACCTCCAGAGTGCTAGATGTCCTCCATGACATGCAACTCTCCGAAATCAAGTACAATTAGGATTCGGATTACCCGGTGTTGCACCACCATTATAGCCAATTGTTAACTTAAATCCTTCTTCAGGGTACCAATATGCTGGGTCTAGGTCTGCTTCTGCCCCCATTTCCGAGTAGGTAGCATCTCCCAATGGAATGACATCCTGCAGATTCTCTAATTCTTCTTCCGTAAAAAACGAATCCTTCAAATATTTTATTACTTTAAAGATTTTTTCTCCTACTATACCCTCTATATATCTCATAATTTTGTCGTCATGCTCTTTCCTCTTTAATACACTAAGCCTCCGCTTTTCCGCTTCTAGCTTTACTCTTTCTGCTTCCAGCTTCATTTCTTCCATATAATCTAATCTTTGTTTTTCTTCTAGTGCCATCCGGTAGCGTTCCTGTATTATCAACTCCCGGAATCTTACTGGATTCAAGCTAGCAAAATACCTGATTGCTTGAGCAAAATCCATTTCTACTTCTGGTTCCGGTGGTATCTGTGGCAATCGTTTAGTTTTAAATGCTTTGAACCCTGAACTTGTCATAGTCAACTCTGATCTAATTTTCAAAATGGCCTCGGTGTCTTTTATCCAAGCACAACTAGGGCCGACTGTTTCGTAAACTTGACCTTCGGGAAGAAATTCAGCTGGAAGTTCAATAAACTGAACTGGTTCCGGCTCAGGTTCTGGTTCAGGCTCTGGTTCTGGTTCTGGTTCAGGTTCCGGTTCGTCTAAAGCGCATGTGAGCCGGCAATCCTTCGGGTCAATCAACGTCACAGATTTCTTTTTCGAACCTTTCCTACAGAGACATTGTATACATTCACACGATACAGGTTTTTCTTTACACTCACAACTAATTCTTTGAGCTGAAAGAAATATGATAATTTTAGTATGTAAAATGCTAATGTGTCGCAACCAACTAGTTTAATCAGCCTTTTAAATATTTATTTAACAGTCTCACCTGTTTACTAAATTATGTAGCTTTCTGAAAGATATATTCAGCCATTTTATGAAACAGTTAGCCAAGTACCAAATCTATAAGATTCTAGGGGTGGAACAGACACCACTGTGTTCCAATTTACAAGGTTTTGATTATGTCACCAAAACTAATTTTAACAAATGTTTTATAAGTCTAATTGATGTAAGACTAGTTGACCCAGCGAACTTCGTACTACCTAAATTTTTTTCACCTTTTACACCTTCCCTGGACTACTACGAACATTTCAAGAACAAATCGGTTCAGTCATTCTCGAGTTTTAGCGAGACTAACGAACGAAAATTCATTTATATTTATATACATTACTAAGAAGAAAATACAGATTTTTATAAATACGAATACCTGAGCATTAGCCAGCTAGTTTTCAAAATGTAACAAATATTAGACATAGCTGGATATCATTCAATGAAATAGAGTGTGTTGAACGACGCTATTTAATTAACAGGCTAGGTTGATTGAACGGTTGATTAAATTAGTATTTATTTTAATTCCGACACTGTTCGATAGCGAACCAATTAGTTTGTTACTAAAGCAAAATAAAACTCAAACGAGCTAGCTGACAGAAGAGCTCAAAATAGAAATACGAACCGAAATCCTCACTGCTGAGCTTATGTTTCATACCGGGAGGAATTGCCAAAGCTAGTCCCATGTTTTGGTGAACAACATTAAGAACAATGTTACAAACTCGCAAGATATCCAAGAACCACTGACAAAGGTTATCGAGGGGAGAATCAAATGACTCATCCCGCCTTGGGTGAAGCGTGAGGGTAGTGTCAGACTCTTACCAAATAAAAGCACTCTGTTCCAATCTGTTCCGAGCCAGGTCGCGGTAATTTACTTTTTAACATTATATCCATCGGATAGCAACCCTACTGGTCCATGTCGGTGGTGGCCTAATAACTCTTTGTGGTACGCACTGAACGTGACACGCTGAGTCTGGTCCAGGTCCGGAGGTAAGCTTCCCTTTCTCGCCGTCTACAGACCCGCGGTTTCAGTACCTAGCTGGAAATAAACGCGCGATCCTCGATTGTTATTTCTAATATAACTACTCCTTACAGTACCTTAGCTTGACTGCATGGTTAGCGCAGTGGTTGCGAGTCCGGCTACTGTGCAACGTGTCGCGAGTTCGATATCCACGCCGGCCAAAAAGTCCGGTCGTGTCTGTCTGCCGCGCCATCGGGTTCAGAGGCTGAGGGACCAGAGAGTGCAGTTGTGTTTGCGCACACACTTGCACTATAGTATCTTCTGCGTCCTGAGCTAGTCTACTTAGACTGGCCACCATGATCGAAATTGATTGGGAGATTTTGTGCTTTAGCTTACATCTTTTAACTCTATAACAAATCACCCTATATACAATATTGAACTCAAAAGTAGTTGCAATATATTTTAACAAACCTGTAGTAGTAGTAGTGGTAGTAGAAGTCCACTGACTAACCACATAAATGCTGAAACAATGCCTATAATAATACATTCATCGAAAACAAAATATCAAAATACATTTTTATGCATAATTATAAATAGAGAACATACGTTGGAAATTTCGATTGGCACCTTGGCAAACATACATTCCCTCATTTATAAGTACATAGAAATATATTTTGATTAATATTCTACAAACATAGTGATCTTGTCGCTGAATGTTGGACTTCAAAACTGTGACCCTGAATAACAATAACAAGGGAGTACCCACTTTAAAATTGGTTAAAATGTCATCTATTTTTGTTACTGCCCAAGATTTGATGTAAAGATCTAAATCAAAGATTGTGTAAGATTTGCTTGAATGCGGACGAAAACAGTATGACGTCATCAAAGAGAGTATTTATAAAAGCAAATAATATAAATAAGTAATAATCAGAAAAGAATCAACCCGTCATTAATCTATGAATACGACGATGTACAGAAAGGTTTCAAGAAAGCAATTGCTCAGATAAATCTTACTGCTCCATGTGGCAAAACAACGCAATCGACTAGCGGAGGCTGCTTCTACCATGGTTACTACAACCAATTGTCAATACTGAATTCGACTGTGGCCCTAAAACAATACTAATGACTCCACAAACAAATTAAACAAAAGGCAAAACAGTAGGTTGGAATTGTTCATCTCTCAATCCATGGTAAACAGATGATAGATATACAAATCCACAACTTAAGAAAGAAGCTTTTTTGGAATAATTGCTTTAAACTGTCAAACACCGAGCGGTCACCGGTGACCGCAACCTATTCTTTAATTGTATCTATAATAACAGTACTCAAAATGTTAAAAACCCTGAACAAAAATGTAATTATTATCATTTTCAACCTCAAATGTCAATAGAAACAACTCAAAAAGGACAAGTTGACGGATATTAATTAGTAAAACAAAATATATTACAATGAGTTCATCTACAATGGATTCTAGATCTAAATAATTATGCTTCTCGTTGAAAATAACTTTGGTCAAGAATTTCCCTCTACTGAATAGGTTAATTGTTACAGAAGTCTCTTGATCCTAGACACTGAGACAAGCTTTAACAGTTTCAAATCACAACGGAGCTCCTGTGACGTGAAATTTACCAAATTTTTCAAACAAATTAGTCTTTAAACATTAGAAATAAGGTCTATAATAAAGGTGGGTGAGAAAGGACTCCTGTGTCCTCTTGCTTTAATCTAATTTCGTGATTAAACTGATATTTTTCAATTAATTTAGTACATGTCTCATCGCGACAGTTATTATACAAAGACGTTCATTACTCTTTTACAAAGAAACTACTGAAGGGATTTGGATGTGCTGAAGTAATTTTTATCCCGTGAACGTGGGTGAAACCGCTGGCAAAAGCTAGTATAACAGGATACAGAGTCTATTTCACAATGTTTGATTAAGTTTCTGTTAGTCTAAATCCTAAATCCAGACAGACAAATAAAGCTAAGCATTCTCCAGATGAATATATGATAAATCGATAAATATCAAAATATGCATCAGTAAACTTCACAGAAACATAATGAAACGTTACGAAACACGACCTTAGTTTAGGTTGAAGAGATAAATAGAGTTATAAACAAATAAAATAATTTACCTTTTGTAATAATCCCACACTCACAGTTCGGCATGCATTTACACGTGACACGCGTCTTTGAGTGTGAACCCATTTTTTTACATCCACAATCTGTTTTTGGATGTTTGCACTCTGCAATCAAAATGAATTAAAAAATATATTGTCAATAATATTTTGATCATTTAAAGGACTAATAGAAATTAATATTCTACTACAATTTGTATATTGATAACATACGGATTACAGACACAGTAGTTCAGTGTCAAATGACAAAACTTTGAATATCATATAGAACTATAACAATATTTATACATCGTGTAACAGATCGAGATAAGTGTGGGAGAGTCATGCTTCGACACGAATGGCCGGCTCAACCGGAGTGATACCACGACCTCACAGAAGACCGACGTGAAACAACGCTTGCGTTATGTTCCGTCGTGTGAGTGAGGTCACCGGATGCCCAACCATCCTCAAACTCTTAGGAGTTAAACTAATCCCCAAAAGGCCGGTAACGCACTTGTAACGCCTCTGGTGTTCCAGGTGTCCATGGGTGACGCCGATTGCTTACTATCAGGTGACCCGTCAGCTCGTTTACCGGATTATGCTATAAAAAAAACAGAAACCCTATACAGCTGATATAGAACCAATTTGCTAGCTTTAGTTTAATAAAACATTCTCTAAAGATGTGTACGTCTTGCAGCGTTAAAGTAATTAAGTAAAATAAGTTTTGTACTTGGCAACAATGTGCACGATAGGCATCGACAATATGGTTTGCATTCACACGGCTTTTTCGGTACCGGTATTGCGCATGGGCGAGTATAATCGTCTTCATAGTATTTTGGCTCTGCAAAAAATATAATTAATAATAAAACTTTATGAAATTTATATTTTTTACTATACCTATCTATCTAAGTATATACCTACACATAATTCTACAGGGTGATTTGTTATTTTGGTATAGGTAATCTTATAAAGTATTACATATATTATGTAAAACTTAATTGAAATAGTATCGTTTTGTATAACATCTTAGTCTTATAGGTATTTTTTTTTAAATTAACACTAAAACAAATACTTATTGTAATAACGGTTCATTCGTGCCTTTAAGTTTACAAAATGTTGAAAACCAGCCTACAAGATTACGCTGCAATAAGAAATCAACCTGCAGGTAATACTTATGGTAAGTACGGCGTGTTATATATTCAAAATGTTTATGTAATTAACTGTAACTACCTACATGTCTAAATAAATGATGATTAACACGGGTTCGTGTTTGTGTTGACGACACATCAGGGCAGAGTACAAGACTCCTTAGGCAGTGCATAAAAAAACCGCAGTTCTGACTCAAACTATAATATAACAACACGCCTCTTACCTCTGAAGGAGTAGGCGTATATGTGTAGATAAGACTATAAGAGATTAGAGTATGAGACTATAAAGGATAGCTAATGTGCAATAATAAAATTAATGAATAAAGTTAAATACATCTATTAAAATGTATGTACTTCTCGGGTTTTTCGATGTGCACTCAACACATTTACAAAATGGCTTGCATTTACACATTATTACATTTTTTCTTACAGGAACATATGGTTCAGGAATATTGGAAATACAAGTACCGCTATCTTTTACAACTGCAACAATACTATCGTTTGAACCTGCAACCGCTGTAATCAAATTTAGATGCATGATTAAGTAATTCTTTTAACGTATATAGCATAACAAAATTCGTTGTTTATAAATATAATATTACCTTCCAATGACTTACCTATTACGTTGTCCTTTGAAGGACATGGAGGCTTTTTCTTGGAATGAGATACGTTGTCCTTTGAAGGACATGGAGGCTTTTTCTTCGAATGAGGTACGTTGTCCTTTGAAGGATCTGGAGGCTTTTTCTTCGAATGAGATGCGTTGTCCTCTGAAGAACATGGAGAGTTTATCTTCGATTGAGATACGTTTTCATATGAAGAACATGGAGGGTATTTCTTCAAATGACATTTTTTTCCTATGTGTGAAAAGAAATTTGACATCCCTGACTTCTTAGGAGGATCAGTTTGACAGAGCACATTCTTTTTCGGATCCTGTTTTACGTCTTTTAGTTTTTCAATTGCCGTACAAGGATCCGTATTTTTTAATTTATTAATACATATTTTTTTCTTTTCTGGTTTCGGCATACGTGTACAATCTTCGTTACATGGCGGTGTGTTTGGTATCACACCTTTATCATGTAAATCTTGGCACACGCAACCTTTTAATATCTTGCATTTCTTTTTTTGCTTCGGATTGATTGTCGGCTCCACGGGACAAAATCTTAGTTCGAGACGAAATATATCTGAACCCATCACATCCGTCAAAGCACCAACGGTTTTAGTCGATGGTTTTGGCCCTTCACTGGGGTGTGATATGACATTTGTATGTTCACCGCAGGGACAAGTTGCATAGAAATTGTTTGTCTCGCATACTATTTTAGGACATTCGCATGCCTCAATATCCTCTTCACATAGGACTCTCTTATACTCACAAACTTTACGCGCGTGTAAAATTGCTGGGCCTCTAAAATCCGTGACCATTCCCCTAGAGCGTGTCCATGAGGTTGGTCCTGGCCGTGGACCTCCGTACACGTAGTGCTCGACACAGGCACAACTTTTTCCTTTTATCACTTCACAACCACATTTTCGTTTTTCTTTCTCACATTCTGAAGTAAATATTTGTTCATATATTTAGGAGCTATCCACACAGTTCCGGGTACGGCCCTGCCGTATTCCGTCAAAAATCGGAAAATATCGGTTACGTACAACTTGCATGAAGACGTTCACATAGTTCCGGGGAAGGGCGCACGTTTGGACGCACGACATTTTTATATACATAGGTACCTAAGTTTTAGGTCTGATCTAAGTACCTAGGTCTTCATGGTGGTCTGTTCATCTTTGTTTAGTGCTGTTGCAATAATTCTTTATAGTTAAATATGGGCTCAAATGCCCTCAATAGAAAATCTTTGCTATAACTCCAAAAGGATAAGTTGACGGATATTAATTAGTAAAACAAAATATATTACAATGAGTTCATCTACAATGGATTCTAGATCTAAATAATTATGCTTCTCGTTGAAAATAAACTTTGGTCAAAAATTTGCCTCTACTGAATAGGTTAATTGTTACAGAAGTCTCTTGGTCCTAGGATTGTGAAAACGATAATATCGCCAGATTTTCTACCAACACATAAATAAATAAATTACACTAACACTGCAAAAGAAGTAAATATACTAACACAATTCTACAAATGTGTTTCTGACGATGTATGGATGAATAGATGTATGTTCATTTATTCAAAATAGCTGTTTACTCGCGTAAATCACGGAGACAAGCTCTAACAGTTTCAAGTCACAATGGGGCTCTTGTGACGTGAAATTAATAGAACTTTTATCAATTATACCCATATAATGTGATTAAACTGTTATTTTTCAATCAATTTAGTAAATGTCTCATCGCGACAGTTATTATACAAAGATGGATGTATGTTCGTTACTCTTTCACAAAGAAACTACTGAAGGGATTTGAATGTGCAGAGGTAATTATAATCCCGTGAACGCGAGCAAAACCGCTGGCAAGAGCTAGTATAACAGGATACAGAGTCTATTTCACAATGTTTGATTAAGTTCCTGTTTTAATATTATTTATCTGTTTAACATGACAGAGAATACTAATTGGAGAATTCATAACATTATTTATCTGTTTCTAAACGGACAAATAATGTTAGGTATTCTCCATACAAATATACGATAAATACAAATATACGATAAAGTGTCAAAATATGTATATTTGCTCGGATTTTTTGTAAAGCGATGGAAACCCTCACGGACTTCCCACATCGTGGGGACGAAAACCACCGTGGTCCTATTACTCTGCATTTTTTTTTTTTTTTTTTTGAGGGGTGAAAATCATCCAATGACTTCTCCCGCCTGGGTGAGGCGGGAGGGAGTGTCAGACTCTTACTGACTAAAAACCACCCCGTTCCTACTCCTGCACTTCGAGCCGGAGCCCCGGCAACCCGTTAAGTCTTCCGCGGCTCCGTATCGGCATCAGCCTTGTTAGGCCCCATCTGTGGTGGTCTGATGGCTCCTTGAGGCGCGCGCGGAACGCGACGCGCCGTACGCTCGGGCCTGGTTCTGGTCGGGCGGCGAGTCACCCATGCTCGCCGTCCGCAGGCTCGTGCTTACGGTGGCCGGAGATCGTCTCGCAATCCCCGACGCCCTGAGTGTCTCTCGCGACGGCCGGGTCGTGAGGAGGTTCGTTCCCTCACGCGCTCCGCCTCCTCCTTAGCTAGCATGACTGCTTCGCAGAAGGAGGAGACGGCATCCCAGTCCCCCTCGCTCCGTACCATGGTCTGAACCAGAGCCGGACGCGAGAGGTCGCCGTCGCCGATCACATTCCTGAGGACACGGCGGTGCTCAGGCCACGTAGGACACACCGCCACCGTATGCTCCACCGTGTCCTCCGGGCGATCCTCACAGTGATGACACCCGGGCGTTTCCTCCCGCCCAATCCGAAACAGGAACCTACCGAAACTTCCGTGTCCGGTAAGCACCTGCGTCAGGCGGTAGGTGAGGACGCCGTAGCGTCTCTCAAGCCACTCCTCAAAGAGGGGACTTACCGCTGCAATGACAGCGAGCCCAGCCTTCGGTTGCGACAGTCGTTGCTGCCATTCCGCCATGAGATCACGCCGGAGCTCATCCCGCCACGCATTAATCTGGCGCGGCAACGGAGTTTCGCCCCGGCGACGTGCCTCCGCGCGCAAACAAAACACGCGCGCGAGCACCTTCGCCTCCAGATCCCTATTCCTCTGCCTGTGGCCGCGACGCGAGACGTCCATGCGGATTCACCGCATCCGGCAGGCCTCGACCTACCGATATATTGCGGCAGGTCCCACAACGTAGCAACCCTTGGAGGCTGACTTCCTTCCTCAAGTGGCGCGAGTTAAACATAACGCTAACGCCTACGCCATACAGCTAACGACTGACTCCCCTAGTCAGTCGCCCGCAGGCCTCTCGTATGGCGGTCGCAGATCGGCTAACACCTCGCGGCGTTGACGGCCGGTGGATTAACGGCGGTGGGGAGGGGAGAGAGCTGGACGCCTCCTTCTCCTTTTCAGCCGCCTAGAAGATAGAAGCGACTCTATCTCATGCACTCTCACTGTCGACCATAGCTGGCACTACGGTCGGCAATAAGAGATCATTTCCACCAAGCACTGCAATTAGTTCACGACGCAGGTCTGCCCATGCTGTAGCGTAAGTCGCGCCGTATTCTCCAAGTCAAAATATGCATCAGTTAACTTCACAGAAACATAATCAAACGTTGAAAAACGTGATTTTAGGGTAGGTTGAAGAGATGAATAAAGTTATAAATAAGTAAAATAATTTACTGTAAGGAAAAATCCCACATTGACAGTTAGGCAAGCATTTACACTTGACACGCTCCGTTTTACATTTACAACGTGTTCTTGGGGGGCACTCTGAAATCAAAATTAATTTAACAAATATTACAAAAACTGTATAGTCTTATAATGTTTTTTATAGTTTGGCCATTCATAGGACTAATAGCAACGCAGTGCAATACACTAATGAGGCATCACCCTAAGTCGTTAAAGTAAGTTAAATAAGTTTTGTACTTGGCAACAATGTGCACGATAGGCATCGACAATATGGTTTGCCTTCACACGGCTTTTTCGGTATCAGTAAAGTGTCTGAAGGAAATATTTGTTCATATTTTTAGTAGCTATCCACATAGTTCCGGGTACGGCCCTGACGTGTTCCGTCAAAAATGGGAAAGAATCGGTTACTTACAACTTCAATGAAGTCGTTCACATAGTTCCGTGGAAGCACGACATTTTTATATACATAAGAACCTACGTGTCAGGTCTGATCTACGTACCTAGGTCTTCATGGTGGTCTGTTCATCTTTGTTTAGTGCTGTTACAATAATTCTTTATTGTTAATTATGGACATCGCGTTGTATATGCAATTATGTAGGTATCAGATAAAGAACCAAGGAACACCAAATACCAATATCCCTGACATGTGTGAACACCGGTGACAGACGGCACGTTCCTAATGGAAACACTATGAACAATTTGGAACACATAGGAGTAACCAGAATATATGTGGATGGCCTTTAAAAATGAGGCTTAATTGATGACCAAGTGTTCAACTTATCTCAAATAATTTCGGCACACAGTTGGATTATATTTATCTATTGTAATAAAATCGTGGAGTTGTTGCAAGTACAATTGCCGAGTATGAGTTCGATCTCTCACGAAAGCAGACAAAACATGGAGATTTTCGATTTTCGAAAAAAAGTGTCTGTGTGACACTTACCTCGCTCTCTATTATAATCGCAATGGAACTCGTTACCTAACTAGCGAGAAATGTATGAGACCACGAGAGTACTCCTCTGCTAATATCATTTTGAAAGTACATTACTTGCCAAGCACGGGACACGGCCGCAAATCCGATATGCTGGCTGTACCAAAACATGCGTCTACTGTTTCACGAGTTTCTTGACTAGCACACGAGTTTGCAGACCCTCCTGAGGATTCTCCACTCGTACTGGAACTCGAGCACTCGTTATCTTTTTTACGTATTTTACTCAAACTGCCGCTTGTATTCTTTTTTAAACTACTTTTTCTCTCCGCTTTGCTCACACCACTCTCGGACTTTTTTTTAGTTTTGTTTATCCCAGATTTATTTGAACCTCCACTGTTAATGTGGTAACTACTTCTATTCGCGCCTTCTTTAATGGTAACACTGGGCCTCCGCTTCGTAGTTCTATTGTGTCTCTGGTTCCTCTCATCACTTGTACTGCTGCTGGAAGTCTGTCCCCCACCCACACGAATGGAACTTCGATTTATAGATCTTCTCCCGCGCATACTATCCAAACTACCGCTGTAATTACCATTTACAGTTACTTTTGCGGTTTGATAAGAACTCAAATCAAAACCATTTGAATTGCATTCACAAGGCGCGGGTATATAATTGTATTTATTTAGACTTTCATTTATGGAAACTGATGACGATCTAAGGCGATGCTTGCGTTTATGCCTATGGGTCGTGCCGGACCGCGAATGACTTGAAATACAAGGCACAAGTATTGGGGGTTTGGTCTTAGGTGCGTTACTCGACTTAGTAAAACGACACCATTTGGGTCTTCTATCTGAAAATGGGTTAAACAAAATTTAAATTTAATATTTACTACATTACTTACGTACTTACATAATATGCAAAACAGTATTTTTTCGAGAAATAAGAGATAATAAGAGCAAAACATGAAATGATACCCTGAACTGAGGATCGAACGCAACCCTCCCTCGCTCATTCCACGAACAATAGGCAGTCACGTTGATAATAATAACAATGAAGTATTTTTATTAAGTACTTACAAAAAGTAAATAAAGTTTGAAAAAGGTACCTTTCATTAAGTAAAAACGCGGATTACTCACGTGAATATACTGATATACTCATCGCGACGTCGCCGCGACCGCAAACACTGCTCATGAGGAAGAACCCCTCTGTGGTTCGAAACTAGTAGAGCTTTTCCCAGTATATTCACGTGAGTAACCCGCGTTTTTACTTAATTTAGTATGTCTCACGATAGTTATTATAAAAACAAGGTACCTTTCAGTAACAGTGGCGTGACTTGTCTTGATACATTGGCAACATAACAATTTCTTGAGGTGGCACTTTCTATGACGTAAGTAGTGGAAGAGATCTTAGGGAGACAGCAGCATGGCCTGTCCAGTGTCGTGTCCACTGCGACGCCTCTCACACTCGCTAAATACCCTCCACGATTGTCATCAGTTCTCACAAATTGACAATATTTATTTTTCATATCCATGTTAACATATTTTAAAACACGTAAAGAATCTTTCTGTACAGCTTTTTCTGTATCTCTTGTTGCCGACAATACTTCTTGCATGTAAAACTTCTTTCCGTTTCCACACTGCACCTGGGGCCCGTGCACGGAGGAGATCGCCGTCATCGTGTCTAAAATAAATAATTAATTGTTTCTAAAATAAATAATTATTATTAGGAATTGAGTTTTTATTTGTACAATATAATAAACATTCATAACATTTCGTTTTGGTTTTAAAATTCTTAAAGAACTATGACAGCATGCGAAACAATCAACTTATAATAATTAATAGATTTCAAAAGCTTCGCAACCTATATGTGTCTACGTTTATCCACAAAACGCCAAATACGTTTAGCTGTACCGATTTTGGTGTAGTTTTCAGTAAAATAGGTATTAGTAATATAAACATATTAAGTGACTTAATAATTATCAATCCAGTAACCGGGCGCTGATAAATTATATTATACAAAATAGGAGCAACGGCGATGTGAACAAAAGAAGAATGAGTTTCGACATTGATTAGCCAATGAAACATCCTGCATTACTGGTCTACAAGGTACACTCTATACCTAAAACTCACTTCATGACGACCTACCTAGTTCAAAAATAACAATAAATTAATAGCTGTCCATGAACCTATGTTGCGACAAACATTTATATCAACATACCATTTGTTACATCTATGTAAATTGTAATATTAGGTACACTATATATTTTTTGCATTAGCTATCGTGAAACATAGGTACTAAATTAATTAGAATATTCGGCGATTAAATGTCACATGAATTGTTACAACGAAGAGATAAGCTACAACTTTATTCTTCTCATTTGGCCGCGCCACGTTGAGTCGTAAATGGTGTGACTTGAAACTAGTAGAGGTTTTCCCGAATAATTCTCCTGAGACAGCCATATTTTCAAGTAAGTATAGAATTTATTGTAGATCGACACATTTTTTAAAAGCAGTATTGAATGTAAGTACGGTAGAAGAACCTCGACTAGACAACTGCATTGTATCGGTAGCCGTAGTAATAAGATGTGTATGTGTGATTTCACGTTTGTGACCTCTCTAGAACACATCGTAATCAAAGATCTACTTCAGTAAGTTAAATCGGGATTTTTTCACCAAAATGTTGAATATCTCAGAAACTAGCCACTTTCGAACCAGAGACCTCAGGGCAAATTTTGTAGGAATTAGTATTATCACCTCCCGAGAGGAATACGTCGAGTTACAAGTCACCCAGTATATGGGTTTTGTGGTGGATGGTATTTTTTGTAATGAGTATTCGCTTTTATAACGTCATGGTGCTTTTATCCAAATTATTACGTCACGTTTGCATTCGGCAAAACTTACATAATATATATTGACCCAATGGATTGAAAAATATTCGGAACCATCATATCAGCCACAATACGTTTACTGCTGAACATACGCCTTCCCTATATAGGCGCCTATATTCCCTAGATAGATTGAATACTTAGTCTGTATGTAATTACGATGAAAAACAACGAATTTTATAGTAGATCATGTTATTTTTTTGTTTTGTAGTCCAGACTCAGCGGCAAGATCACTATGTTTATAGAATATGTAATCAAAATATATTTCTATGTACTTATAAATGAGGGAATGTATGTTTGCCAAGGTGCCAATCGAAATTTCCAACATATATTCACTATTTATGTGTACATAAAAATGCAATTGAATAACACTACTTGGTTTGGACCAATACATGATTACATGGTAAATTAAATGTCAAAAAGTTTGTTGTCATGTTCTAAAATCCATTTCATGTTTATGAAAACAAAATCTCCGCATACATATGTGAGCACATTAATTTCGAAATACTGCACAAAATTAGAAAAATCCTTTTTCGGTTATTCGTTACTGTCAGGACAAGGATCCTAAAGGAAAGCATTAAACGCTATCTGGTTATTCCAAATACCTAATTATTCTTGTTTTATCATTATGACCCATGCACATTGCACATACTAACACAAAAATACTTACCAGAATTCGCTACCACTGGTGTTTCAACTGAACAAATGCTTGTGGATTCGATAACTTTATTGGATTCTTCCTCTTCATCAGATGTTGGTACTACTACGAACAGTGAAGATGCCTGAGTGAAACGTTTCCTTGCAAGTATTTTGTCTAATAGCTTTGATATATCGAATTTTCTTGAAAAGCGGTTAAATAGAACAATATTTCCTGTTACTGCACTTCGCCTTTTCTTTGTAGGAGTCTTAGCGACAAAATTACGTTTTTCTTCAGCCAATCGAAAGACAGCATATTCTAGTTGTGGATTTATTGTTCGAATATTCATTTTTCTTTTGGGATCGCCAATAATGACACTTTGATCGATCAACTCTTCGCTGAAGATAAGAAATGAAACGACTGTAAGTACCACAATACCTCTTAACTATACTAACTATTTAGTGACGCCTATTGTAAGTCATACGGCTTGCAACTTTACTATGGTTTTTAAAATAAAATGCTATAAATTACCTGTATTCATACAATGAAAGCTAAAAAATAATATTTGTTCCTTGTATTTACTGAAAAACTAGAATTATCATTGATGAATTCATTTACCTGGTGGATCCATCCACTGAGCTAATGCTTAAAAGTTGGTCGGAGGAATGGGTGTCGGAACAATGCTTAGAATGAGAAGTGATGTCACTACTCCAATCTGACATCACAGTCGTGTCCATGCTGTTACTGCTACTTGTGTCTAAACTTAAGGAAGCCTCACTATTTATCATTAAAATGGACACAGAACTGCCTGCTGTTGATTTAGATTTCAAGTTTCTAAGATATCTGCAAATCTGAGCTGTTTTTTGAAGACGCTTTATATTTGCTTTTGGACCAACGCATTTCTTTGCACGCCTGTTACACGGTTTTTTACTAGTTTGCCAAAAAATATTTCTACTTCCATTTCCAGAATAATTATGTGAATAATTATCAATGTTGCGAATATTTTTGGAGATATTAAAATATTTTGAATAGACTCTGTCTATGTTGCTACTGTGCGTTTTAGGAGCCAATCCATCCTGTATCATCCGATTGGTGTATCCTCTAAACATCGATGGGGCACCTACAGCACTACCAACAATAATTTTAATTCCCTTATTGTCAACAAAGTACCCCCTTTTACCGCCTGGGATACAATCTAAAGGACGATCGCAGGAAGTCGGTATATCTGCAAAGGCCACTCTAAATTTAGTGCGTCTATTTTTAAATTTGATATTTCTTTTGTTACAACCGCAGCCACGTTCACAAGTTGCTGTCTTGATAACGGCTTGATAATTTTGAGTTATGTTCATTCGCGGTTTCTTTATTTCCTCAATTTTTTTTGATTCTTTCTTCGTCTTGTAATGCATTGCATTAGTTAGCCAATGGAATTCATCCTTAATTCTTTTTATTAAATCTTTTTCAGACGGCGTTTTACCTTTAGGTACAGGTAATTCAGCTTCAGCGAGGCCTCTTATTATTCTTACTTTCTCCTCATGTGGTTTATCACTTATTGGTGAGAAAAGCCCTTCAGCTTTTGCTTTTAGGATAACTGACTTATGATCTCTACGCTTCTTTGTTGGGGCCATTCCCAGTTCTGCCTTAACGTTGCGAATCAAAGACCTTTCAGAAATCGTATTGCCTTCTGGTAGGGTTACTCCATCTTCAGCTAATCTTTTTACTATTTTATGTTTCTCGGCCTTTGATAAACCTTCCAATGGTGTCAATATGTCTTCATCTTTTGATTTTTTATGCTCCTGGACCTGTTGTTTTCCTTCCAATGGTGTCAATATGTTTGCATCTTTTGACTTTCTTTCGGGTTCTGGGAGGGGTAATCCTGCATCTTTTAATCGTTTCAATATTATTTCTTTTTCTGCTGGAGTCATATTCTCCAAAGCTATACTCACAGAAGATATATTTCGTCGAGGTGCCAAGCCTACTTTATTTTGAATTCTGTCAACTAAATATTTTTCGGACGCTGTTTTAGGTTCTGGTAACGGAAGACCAGCTTTAACTAAGTCTATCAATATCTTTTCTTTCTGTTCAATGGTTTTGCCTTTTAGTGGTGTTAATAATCCAGATGATTTTCTGTGTCTCACTTTGTCTATCATTAATTTATGTTTTGATACTGAATCGTCTATCATTTTATTTATTTGATCCTTTTTTAATAAAGTCGCACCTTCCGGAATCGGTTTTCCTGCATCTATCACACCCTTATTTAGTGGCTTCCCTTCCAATAGCGTTATGACACTAGCTTTTGGAGGGGGTTTCTCTTCAGATTCACGTAAGGTTTCGTTTTCTTGTGGAAGACCTAATTGTACACGAACTATATCGATTAATTTTTTTTCAGAAGGTGTTCTACCTATTGGTAAGGGTAACCCGTTCTTTACTAGGTTTCTTAAAAGTTTTTCTTTTTGTTTTAGAATTTTTCTTTGTGATGGTGTTAAAGCTTCCTCTAATTTAACATCTTGTTGCGTTACGTTGCCTTGCGTTGTTTTGGGTTCTTCATTTTTCTGAATTAATTCTTCTTTTGGCGGAGTTATTTGATCTAAATGTGGAATAGCCTTTGTTGTAGATTCAACAGGTAGCCGAAGGTCGCCTTGAGGCTTTACAGTTAACTTTATTTTTGATTGCATTTGGCCTTCAAGAACAGGAGCAACATGCTTAGCTGATTCTTTACTTTCTCTTTTGGCTTGAGATTTTCTTTTTGGCACTGTCAATAAGCCGGCGAATTTTTCAGACGTTCTTTCATTCTTCATTTTTATTTCTCCTTGCAACTTTTGATCACCACAAAGTATACAATTACAATTCAAGCAATTTTTCTTTTTGTAACAATTATACAAGCCTTTCATGACTTCAAATATAGCGTCAGAATTACAAGAACAACAGCATGTGTCATCAGGACCAATCACTTGACATCTGTAAATTTTGCATGCGCTTTGGTTTAAACGGTTGAATGGGCTTGGAGCTGTGTTAAATGGACGCTCAAAAACCATATTAACAATATACTTTGATAGGAAAAGATTGGTTTTGTATTTGTTTTGCTTGTCCACTGCATGGCTACTTTTATCAGGTGTTTCACACTTCTTTATTTTAAGCTGGCTGAAATAACGTCGCTTGACTTTTCGTTTCTTAAACTTGTATGATATTGAAGATCGGTAAATTAAACCTGGTTGTGCATTCGTTTTTATTTGTTTGTATTTTTTCTTATTGACAGTAAAGCTTAACTCTCTAACGTGCTCGCTACGTGGCTCATCCCGCTCGTAAGAAAAACAATTTTCATTTTTCTGCTCATATGAATGCACACTGTTCGAACCCAACATTTTTATAAATACATACACGAGTCTCACTAATAATTTAGATGTTAAATCTTTTAATATTACATATTCAAGAATCTATTAAAGTTCATATATCATAATAAAAATTACGATATTTTTTTCCCTGAAATACATTAATCGGTAATCATAACTCAGTGTTTTTTCTTCTGATTAAATCTGAAAGAAGGCAAAATACGAATGCATTAGACTTAAAATGGCAGTAAATAGTTTGTCGTTGAATAAAATACCGATGTAAACACACACAGATAGTCCCTATGACATGGGACTCATAACATAAATATTGAAAAGTGGGTGTTACATTGTACAGTGGCATAATGTGCACCTCTGCCTAACCCTTCGGGGATAAAAGGCGTGATGTTAGGTTATGTAAACAGACCAAATAAAATTATTATCATAACGAATGGCCTCGTACCTCACCAATTTAAATATACGGCATCCGACAAGCCGTTAGAATTAGTGCCATTATCGTATACTCTTTCAAATGGTACTAAGTATTGTCCAGCTTGGTAACTAATCTCCCAATGGGGTGGTCCCATTGGGAGACTAGTTACCAGACTCCTTTATTTTAGATAATTGCTTGATGAAGATTCTTCTAATCAACCTAATACAATCTTATCATCATACAAAATACAATCATATTTACTTGTGTCTAAGAGTTCTATTGCCTTACCTCTTCATGTTCTATTGAAGGACTCACATTCAGAAGTCTATGGCCGTCCACTGCCGAACCAAGGTCTCCTCTAAATAAAAGGGCTGCTATATTCTCTACGCTTAGGACGGTTAGAGATGGAAGTTTAAAGGGTCAGGTTAATCAAAGAGTGCTACTACCCGATTTCTATCAACTAATTTCTATTTATATCAAGTATCGTGTAGTCCCTTTTTTATAACACTAGCGGGAAGTATAGTCTTTACCTTAACTTAGATAATCTGGAACGAAAACATTTCGTATACAATGCTGTGGCCTTTAGAAGTCATAAATGGTGAATTTGTTAATATGCATTAGGTTTTATTGTGTTGATAAATATTTAATTTTTGTAAAATTATTAAAAACGTTTCGACAATGATTGACACATTTTTGTCATTTGCGCTATACATTTTACTCGTAGACAGAGAATATAGAACCCCAACACTTATTATACTCTTTGGAATATAGGTAGACAAGTCCTCAGCGTATGCAGTATGAGATAGCGATAGTTCGACATAAGTACGTTACTACAGCTATGTGTAATTAATATTGCCATACTTAGATTTTTACCCCATCGTGTGGGTAATCTAGTACTTTATTCGTTACGTACGAGTCATTCAATTAATAAAATTGTCATTAGACTTTCAAGGGGCGGGGTATTTATAACATTTTGATGTTTTTTTTTAAATGGGTTAAAATCATCAAATTACTTCTTTCGCTCTTGGGTGGAGCGAGAGGGAAGTATCAGACTCTTACTGACTAAAAAATCCCACTCCGTTCCTTCTTGCCTGTGGTACTGGGGTCAGAGCATGCCCTTTCGGATTCGCCCCCAGTCCCCAGTAGGCTTCGGCCCTTTGGGCCCGTACAAATTGCTGACAAACTCTTTGAGACCGCCGATCGCCCCCACGAGGACATTACGATGTTCGTCTCAAGCGGGATACACCTCCACGGTGTGCTCCACCGTGTCCTCCGGGTGGTCAGCGCAATGCCAACACCCGGACGTCACTTCCGCCTTCACCCGCAGCAGGTACCTCCCGAACTTGCCGTGTCCGGTGAGAACCTGCGTCATGCGGAAGGTAAGGACGCCGTAAGGTCTTTCCAACCACGCCTCAAAGAGGGGAACGTTCTGATATGTACTTGATAGGAAATAAATCATCAGTTTCATTCATTTTTGTATGAAACAGGTAATTTTTATTTTCACATTTCAGGTTAGTCTCATAGCAAAACTTTATAATCAAGTGCTGTAAGATTATTAGTTAACAGTACTGTGGAAAATAAAACAGCACTGGAGCGAATACTGAATGCGGCTAGGGTGAAGATGAAGCACAAATGAGTTGTAATTTTATTATAACTCAGCTCAATAGTATAGTTCGACAAATCATAATTAACACATTTATTTACGCGCTTTGTCACAGCCCCGGAAAGAATTCAGTTCGCGTGCGTATTATAGATGTGGCATAATTTTAGAAGCAAATAAAAATAATTGTGTATAAATTATAGTTTAATCAAAACTTTGAATAAACAAATACATAATAAAATGGAAATACAGAAGATATACATAATACAATAATTCTTAAGCCTCGTTTAGCGAGGTGTCAAGCGTTTTTCCGTTTATGGATCCACCGTTATATGATTACTGACCTTTAAATAAAACTAATTTATTATAAAAATTTCTGACCTTATCAGTTTTTTCTGAAAGCTTTTTAGTTGCATAATGAATACGAACTTTGAAATATTTCAAACTAATAGCCTTAATTAAGAGCGAATAGTGACAGTCAAGGAAAGTTTGGCTGTTAAAATGTGATATTTAAAAAAATAATGTTAAGCCCAAACAACGTCTAAGACTTTCCTGCATGAGCACAATAAGAATATTTTTTTTATTTAGACCTCGATTTTTACGAAATTTTATCTCACAAATTTCACAAATTTTTACAATATCTTTTGAGGGGTAACATAATCCACCTTTGTCTTTTTGTAACTGTACACTAGCATATTTAGTATCTGATATAATAGCAGACACACATTCCTCGCACTGAAGCTCTTTTTTCAATTTGCTTACGACAAATCCAGCAATATATACTATAACATGTTTAGAAAATTCCGTCAATAGACTTGGATCAGTTAAGTAATCGTGATCCTTCATTAAAACTTCATCAAAATATTCTGAATTACTACTTACGGCGACATTATCAATCATTATATTTTTTCTGACGTTTTGTTAATTGCTATTTCTGGTTTGGTCAATGTTAAAATATTTATATGTTGTAACGGAATACAATTTCCTGACGTAATGTGTTTCATTTCCCCATGAAATAACATTCTTTTAAATGCCGACTTCAATTCTCTAGCAGAAGGGTTGTTGTTAAACCCTCCTTTGGCTCTAATGGCACTAAAAAATACTCCAAGTGATCTTAACTTAGTTTGTAAGTGCTTAAAAACCGAAGGTTATTATTTATCACTTGAGTTTCGTACAAATTAATTACACTTTTAATACAAATTAGAAAGCCTAAAAATCCGGTTTTTCTATTTGAAGACATTATATTTCTGTCCTAATTTTAAATTGTTCAAATATAAAATCATTTCATCTAAAAATGGTTTGATGTGCGAAAAATTATTGACAGATAGTGGTTTTGTGTATGAATATGCTTTCAGATTCCTTGAATTCATATTCAATTCATTCAATTTTTTGAATAAAATCAACAGTACCGGCAGAGTTCTTAAATTCGTCAATATTGAGTTCTATATTACAAAATTGAATAGCATTTGCAACGGATTCACTCATTACTTGGGCTGCCAACTTGACCTTCATGATTTGTTTGTAAAAATGTATGTGTGATTTATTTAATTTGTTACCTAAATGCAATCCTTCATTGTCTTGGAGCACTACCAGTAATTTTACGTATTCCCATGACACAACAAGACCTTGTGAGTCTGTTATTGGACCCTTTTCTCCTAAGGTATTCCTAACTAACTTCAGCATGTGTGAAGGGTCGGGAAATATAACAATATTATTATTGCCGACGGTAAAGGAAGGATCACTGTCATCACCGTCTAATTTACAGCCTAAAACTTTGGCCATAGACAATTTGTCGGACATTCATCGAAAGTTAGTGAGATAATTTCAATACCACAATCCTGGGTTAATATTTCGATACAATTTTTTACTAAACTGGCCTTTTGTTCAGCGCTTATCCCATCGATTAAAAAATATCCTAGAGGTATTTTCGAGGATCCATTTACACACGTTAGCATAAAAATTAACGCATCTTTAGCTAATTGATCGTTATTAACGTTATTTCCAAAATTAACAAATCCTATGCAATCTTTGCCATCAAAATCTAAACCTTCTTTAATTGCCATTTCATCAAAACTTAGGGCGCATATTGTTTTGTGTAACGTGTTTTTTTTATTGTATTTATTTCATGTAAAAATTTGACTGCTTTGATAGATTCTGTGAAAAAACCAGGATTTCCATCGATGCATTGGTACCATCGCGATAGTGTACGCGGATGAGGTAAGCAAGTGTTAAATTGTTTCCTAACAAAGGTGTAAGCTATGGGACTGATGTAGTGGAGACTTAAGGCAAATTTCCGCAGTTCAGGCAAGTATTTCCGTTCAGTTATATTTTTACACAAAAACCTTTTTAAGAAATCTCGATTGGTTGCATCGATCGAAGACAGCAAGTCAGCAGCTTCCTGGTTGATTAAAGAACGAGTTTTTAATTCCTCAATTATAGTAGATTGTTCAGCAGTTTACTTTTGCAATCGCCAGGTCTTAGATCTTAAAGCTGCTAATTTCTTTCTTCTATTATCACTTAATATTGTCTTCTTTTCCAATTTGCTAATTAACTTCTTTTTACGAGGAGTCATCTCAAGTTCCGGCGCTGCCATCATAGGTAATATTCCTTGTGTCTGAAATATAACAAAAAATATGTCTGACAACAAATAATTATTTACAACTACATTAAATATTGAACATCTTTAACGATTTAAATCACATGGTAACGTAATGTTTCAGTAGATAAACTACACATACACAGCTAAAACAGCAGGAATTGCGCAGTATAAGATTTACAAGACTTAGTTTCCATAATAAAGACTGATTAAGAATAAACTCACCATAGTACTTTCAATTTCTACTTCCATAGCAACTTCTGATGGTAAAGATAGGTGACCATGAATATGCGTAATGGATGAACCGTCAAGCTGAAAAATATGATCATAGTTTTAAATTTGTAATATTTATCACCCAAATAAATAAGTACCTATACATAAAATACTGAATATACGACTTTTAGATTTAAAAGAAACATTCAAATAAGTAAGTACCAAATAATCCTTTGCTTGCATATCAACCCCCAAAGTATCTCATTTTGAGGTACTCGGTTGATCTAAAGCCGGTTGGACCTGAAATTTGACACAAAAAGGACACGAATTTCCGATTAACTGCTTAAATAATCACTAATTAATGATTTTTCAAATAAGTTTTACAGTATCTGCTTTACGTTGTTTATTAGCTTAATAATCTATTTGTACAAATAAATAAAATTGGAGTGTCTGTTTGTAATATTGAAATAACTGTTTTTTAATACCTACACATCTACCTATACATATATAATTCAAAGGTGATTGACTGACTGATATAGTGATCTATCAACGTACAGCCCAAACCGCTGGACAGATTGGGCTAAAATTTGGCATACAGATAGATGTTATGACGTAGGCATCCGCTATGAAAGGATTTTGATCATTTTCACCCCTATGGGGGTAAAATAGGGGGTGAAAGTTTATATGAAACTTTTTTTTTTTTTAAAAAAAAGAAACGTTGCCCCACACTAGGATTTTCTCCTGTGTCGTGGGTGCGTTTACAAACATACAAGTTCACATACACAAAGACACCCAGACCCGAAACAACAATTTATGGATCACACAAAGTGTTGTCCCGTGCGGGAATCGAACCCGCGACACGTTGCACGGCAGCCGGTTGCCCAGCCACCGCACCAACCGTGCAGTCTTATTTATAATTTATAAAAACTCTTAACCACTGAACTTAGTTTAGAGAGATTCGGTACAGCAATAGTCGATAGAATAGTTTTTATTACCCAAACCTTACGTGATCGGGCACTGTACTGGTAAGATCCCTGTGGGATTATTTATTTATTGAAACTACGATAAATCATTTCAAAATAGGTAAATCTTACTTGGGTACTGAATTGATTCTGAATAATTCTGTCAGAAGTCATTAATCTACGCGGACGAAGTCACGGGCAACAGCTAGTGAATATATATATACGGTACATACACCAAGATAACATTTTTTACAATTTTTGTCTGCTTGTCCGGGCTAATCTCTGAAATAGCTATACCAATTTTGACGGGGCTTTTTTGGTGGCAGATAGCTGATTTAATAAGGAGTAACATAGGCTACTTTCATTTTAGAAAATATAAATTCAAAATCCTGTAGTCCACGCTAACAAGGTCGCGGGCACAGCTGGTTAGGTTTATGTATACTTCATTTAAATTAGTTCCATGTAGCTCAACTTTCCATTATAAATTTCTTAGACTATAATTAATACATAAAGTTTATAATTCATTAAATTTATATTAATATATATTCCATGTAATAATATTAAAAAAGTCATCTCAAATAATGTTTAAAATATTATTTCTGTGTCACAAGAAATAAAGTCACAACAAATGTTTACGTATCAAAGTTAATTATACGTGTAAAACAAATTGTGGTGTATAATAAATTTACTTTACCTGAATGAAAAGAGTCGGTATCGAACGTGGATTTAAGTGAGTACTATTTAATTTCTGTCGAATGCAACTAGCTTCAAAATGTCGTGAGCAGATTCGGGAGTGACGACTTGGATGCCAGTTAATTCGACCCGTGCACTCAGTCCACTTTTTTCTTAAAATTGGTTCATTCGGAAATCTAAAAGAAAAGTAAAAATTAAAAGTGTGGTAAAAATAATTAAGTGCTGGTATCCCTGTCAAGGTATTATCCGACTATTAACAAATGACACGTAGTAACATAGGTAACAACCTAACATAAAATGTCTCCCACATTGGTCGGTTAGTACAAAAAACAAGTTAGGAATTTATTGTATTTTTAGATGAATTTATCAATAAATTTCGCTTAATATTGACACAAAATTGCCATCAATGACCAGTGATGCCAAACAACAAAAAACCGATACGCAAATAGAGACAAAAAATTTTTGCTATGTCCTGCTCACACATAGACATTTTGCTAATCTGTCATCTCACCCTTGCAATTATTATTATTCAAAAAGCATGTCTACCTCTATTCTCTGTCTACGATTTTACTCTTTGCATTTGAGACTTTTAAGTCTAAGTCAAGTTATGGTCAACTCTCAGGAGTGCAACCATGAAGTATAAAATTTGTGCTTCATGGTTTGTATTTGTACTACAAATACAAACTCTATTCTTTACGTCTAAGGAATCGGCTATAACTAGGTATTTTTTAAGGGGGGAAAATCATCGAATGACTTCTCCCGCAATCCCCTCAATAGAGCCAATAAAAGTTCGTATAAGGCAGGAGATGTATCAAAATGTGTGTAAAAGAGCCAATTGACATTCTGTATCTAGTAACGAGATGTTGTCGCACGTTGTTGTGCATTTTGCAAAAATATACTTCCAAATGTGTTTCATCAGTTAGTGGATGTACCCAGTACCTAAGGCACCGGCTATGTTTACGTTTTCTATTTTTTTATTTAAATATCAAAGGTACAACACATGCTGATCGCCAGAAATCCATGGTGAAATGAACTGAATTTAAGCAAACGCTAGCCGCAGTGCGTGTTAATGCGCGTTTTAGCGTTTTCAGCTAGGTATTCCTAAACCCCGCACATTTAATCGCAGGGCGTGCCTAAAGAATACTAACTGCTCAAGGCGAGACGATGCTGGTCAGGATCGTATACGGGGTGGCTCCAATGAGCTAAGACCTAGGTATATATCGTGGTTTACATCTTTAACGAAATAAGTGCGCATAAATATTTAGTGAGTTCAACCTCAATTGATTTTTTGAGGACGGAAAAACATCCAATGGCTTTTTTCACCTTAGGTGAGGCGAAAGGGAGTATCAAATTCTTACTAACTAATAACCTGTTCTTTCAACCGGAGCCCCGGCAACCCATTACGTCTTCCGCGGCTGCGAATCGGGCCTTCTTTATGGGTCCATTTATGGTGGTTAGATGGCACTGTGATGCGAACTCGGAACGCAGGACGCCATACGCTCAGATCTGGTTCTGGCCGGGTGGCGAGCTACCCTTGTTATACAGTACCTATGGTGACGGCAGGGTAGAAAATGTGTATACAGTTTGTCACCGTCATCTTCTCTTCCCGTGTATCATAAGACACGACCGACCAAGCAGTGGCGCTCTTTACTACACCTGAATCGTTTTAAAACTACGATCTTCATCCAGCCGATTTTGGAAAACCTCTCTTATGTACCTACCTAGAGGCGGCCCATCATAATCCAGCTATGGACGCATCATATCACGGGTTGTTGACGTGAAATATAATAAATAATCGTATAAAAAGAAACTACCCGCTTACTAATTTAATACGATTCTTACAAAACACACACTATACAGAATCTGTGCCAATGCGAAACTGAAAATACCAATAATACTTTGCCGCCCGAATTAAACATCAAACCCAAACATGCTAAGTAACTTTAAGGTAAATATGCGCCATCTATTATCATCTTGTCACACCATCTGGAACACAACTAAACAGAAACCACAGACTATCTACATCACGTAAAGGTGTCATTATAAAAATATTGTTAATGATTGTAATGATGGCAACCTTGGATAGCAATCATAATACAGTTTATTTTTTATTTCAAACAAATAATGTTACGTAAATGTCGCTCAAAACTGTTAAATTCACCAATTCTTTACTAAAAAAAATAAATAATTTATAATAATCAAAAATAAACAATAATTGACTTAGGTAGTGATAAAGTTATAAAAATGTTTTTAGATGAATCTTTACCATTCTAAATTATATATGCAATCCGCAACCAATTTTCTAAATAAACAAAAATTATATAATATAAAATATTAATAAAATAACGTTGAAACCGAAATAATTTTATTACCCTAATCATTTGAATGAATTGTGTGTCATAATCTCATTCATTCCCATCTCTAAAAAAAACATGGCGAGCAGCGAAGTGACTCGTTATCGTTCACTCAGTTCAAATCTTTTTGCCAACACTAGTAGATTAATAACTTTGCCGTGCTTAGCTTGTGACAGACATTTTTGAATATTATTTTTAAACAATTGTTTCTGCTTCAATATGAGTAAGTACAACTATTTTTAATAATAATGTATTACTGTTGTGCTTATTATATTGTCTTTTATTTATTATATGTAAATATTGGTTCGTAACATAAATATTGCACGTGTCGGCACGTATTACCTACTGTGTCTTTTCTTCGAAGTTGGGAAATTATGTTTAATTCAGTATAAAAGAAGTAAACGGGTGTTTTATTGTAGAGTGAACTTTTAAAAGGTTGTTCTAGCGTGGAAATGTTTCATTTTAAATGAGATCTGTGATAATTTCTTTTTTTATAATGTATCATAACGGTTTTCTTTTTCATTGTTATATGGATGATGCGCTAAGGTACCTACTTAACGGACGCTGTTGTGAACTTGTGTCTGCCGAAACGCGAATACTGACTAGATTACGTTTAATACAGTCAGTTGAATATAATAACAGTGTTCGTTGAATATCGCGCGCTATTTTAACCCAGATGATTCAATTAATTTAAAAGTACTATTTCACAGAAACATTTAAAGTAGTTACGAACTTATACTGGTACTTACTTATTTAGCAAGAAAACAAAATAATGTTTAAAATACTGTTATATACGAATTGCGATTTAAAAAATATACTTAATTGATTTTTTATTTAGTTTTATTTGTATACATTGAACAGAATGGTGATAGTTGGAATGCCAATAAAACATAATGCCTAGAAATTCTGCCCATATTCTCATTATTAATTTTAATATTCAATTATGATACTGGAATGTGAGAAAACTACAACAACAGTAGATACTATTGTATTTTACATGGATCCAACTGGATGCAATAACATTAACTTATAAATATATAATAACTAAACTGAAATTAATATTTATTACATATTGGGTATTTTTATTACCATTTTAATCTCGATTTTAACCACTTTTAAAACTAGAATGAAAACCAAATTCTAAACTTATTTTAAAAATTTAATCTCAAAATGTTTCCCATTGTTGATATTATAAAATATAATATTTCATCATCATATCGACCATAGGACATCCACTGCTAGACATAGGCCTCTCCCGATTATACTATTTACGTACATTAATTTAATATCATAATTTTTCTTCAAAAAATGGTTGTATGCATCTAACATCTTGCTATGCGATGCTAAGCATATTTTTCATAATTAAGTTGCACCAGCAAATATTAATAAATACCTTTGAAAGTACCCGTTCTATTTGAAATTGTTTTCAAAATTTGGCAATTTTATATGTAAGATTCAATATTGAGTGCAGTTAAAATAAACCCTGTGCAACTGCACAGGGCACAGGGCAAAGCAGCTGGTGGAACTCCACCAGCTGCTTTGCATCTATTGATCATAGTATGATGTTTTATAGTATATAACCTACCTCGATAAATGGAAAATTCCACACTAAGAATTATTCAATATGAACCTTTAGTTCCGGGGATTAGCACAAACTCTTTGGCTTTGTAATATTATTTGTTATGGAACTATTCGAAGTTGTTCAGGACCTGACTAAGTTATTATTATAGCTTAATGTAGCAAATTTTCCTAATATTATCTGCCACTTAGACTCACAGAAACTTTATCAAACATTGTGCAGCACAGGCTCATAATTACAGGGGGTAAACGGAACACTCCCAAAAAACGCTGACAGGTGATGGTAAAACAGTAAGTTTTATTTACATAAAAGTAGGGAATCAAATACCTAGTTCTTGTATGTTTTAATCAACTGCTCAAGGCTCAGTTGCATGAATAACATGAACATAAAAACAATTTAAATTTTAAAAGCCATTTCTCTTTGTCAGCAATTCGGGAGCATTCTGTTTTCTTCACATATTGCCCATTTCTTGAGAACAGTACTTCATACTTGAATAAGCAAGATTTCAGTACTAAAACCACAACATACTATTTAAATATTTAGGTACAATTAATAAAAAAGCTTATAGAAAACATATCTAGATAAAATTGCAATGCTACTTTCCTGCAGCGTGCAGTAATATTATTTTTTATTATAACTCTAATTTATACAGTTGAAGAGTGTTTTTTTATTGTGCTAAACTCTGGAACTACTGGTTTGAAGTGAATAATTATATTTAAGTTGGATAGACCATATATTGAGGATGGCTATAGGATATATCCTATAGATATGAAATATCAAACTACGATGAATATGAGCCGAGCAACGGGTAAACCGCGCCGGACTAACTCAGTGTTCTTATGTAGTTGGGATGCCTCACTCAAAAATAAATTATTTCAACTTTCTCTACTTAACCCGTTGAAATCCATCCCCTAAATTTGGTCATAAAAAAGTAGTCTCTTAACATTGGAAATAAGGTCTATAATGTAATGTAATATTAGGGGAGAGCGGTTACCGGTGACCGCTTGGGGTTTTATGGGTTAAATATTATAACCACACTTTCATTGACTAATTTAATATTGTACTTCCTTTCGATGAAAAAATTGTTGGAATTCATCAGTTTTCACAAACACATGACGTGTTTGTCAACAGACATCTGATATCTAGTCACCTTTTTTTGTCAGATTATTTTAATAATTTACATACTCATGCAAAGCGAACATGTATATTAACAAGGCGAAACTTTATAATGTGTTTTCGTTACTCACTAAAAGCAAGTAAAATGTAACCTTTTTACTATAAAGTAATTTTCATTCAAAGTAGTTATTATACAATATTATATATAGAACATTTTTAAGTTAAGAACACCCAATGATATTTTGTTCTAGGATTCTAACCCTAGATAACTAACACAACAGTCGCGAATACAACGGACGTAAATTAACATAAAAAATTGGGTTTATTGAATTTCTGACAAAAACCTACACCTAGGCTGTCTGTATCGGCCATTAACCGATCTTGTCAAACAAATCCATAACAGAAAATTCAAATAGGTACAATTTTATTTTCTTAAATCCTTTGGCAGGATGTGCCACTGAATATTTCCATATTTCAAAATAAAGTAACGGTTTGCAGCGCGCGAGCAAAGGTCATCATACTTACAAACATGCAAAGAGCTTGACCACAAAGTCGGATTTACATTTGATCAATTGATTTGGCCAATAAGACAAGAGCTTTCTCACTTATTTTCTAGATTTTATAATATCGTAATTATTCCTTTTCCTTTTATTAGGTAAATGAAAATCACACAATAATTCTGTTTCTGATATTAAAATTAATTCATGTTTCGTTTTGTGTGTAATGTTTATTTTTAAACTCTATCATTTTTCACTATTGTAAATGTGTTTCAACCCTCCCTCTCTGTTAGCAGAATAAAATAATAAGTATCAAAATTAGCATTGGAAGATAACAAAGTAGGTATTATGAAGGATATCCAACATTACAGTCATTATATCGAAGGGAACGAAGAATGGGACACATGCTTGGCAAGAAATAGGCATTAGCAAACACGAACATGTGAATGGGTGTTTGTATGTGTTTGTCTTGACAGATCAAAGGCTATTTGGCAAACAGTTTGCGATGTATCCACACGCTTGCTACACATCGATGTTTGGGACTTAATTTGTTGTGTTTGATATCTGTGGCAAACAACAAACGTGTGGACGGTGCATTATAAATAATTACACGTGTACAGCAAACCGCAGGATCGATTTTCATATGTTTGAGTGGGTTCCCTTAATGGATTAGATCCAGCTGCATTCAGTACAAAATCCTGTATTTCCTATCGGAGCGCTTCAGCAATTTATTACTGAAATGTCCGTATTTTGCTACGTTACCGACTAAATCATCAAGCAGTAAATCTGTGTATATTTGTAAATAAAAATAAAGGCCTTAGACAACTTTTGATCGAAGTTAGGACCGAGAAGGGAAATATCTGCTCTACAAATCTTCCCAATAGATTTTTAATAAATAGTACCATTTTTAATTAGTGGTAATTGCGTAATAACTTTCTATTAAAACACCATCATTATCAGCTTACAAGTGTCAATTCCTAAGCATTAATTTATCACGTTTGCTCACGGCGGATTGAAAATTTCAGGCTTAATAATTCGAAATTGTAAAAGTTGGTTTTTTCCGTGATTTTTGTGAACTAGTCTGTTGACATTACCAGCTATTTATGGCAAGGAGCTTCAAAACTTTTCTAGTTTTTGCAGAATTTCTTTTTTCACTTAAACCACCCTGGTGGCCACCTTCAGCACACATAAGAATAACCGGGTCTTCTATCAACTCCTGAGTCTTCACTGTGCAAAGAAAGTTAAGGCACATTTCTAAGAAGAGTTGCGTCTCCCTTGGGCCATTCTTTTCGGAGAGCAATTTATACCTGTGGTATACATTCTTGTAATAAAATTGTACTAAAATTAAACCAGAGCATATTATAAAGCTTTTCAACTTCTCAATAGTTGTCGGGTTTCTATAGGGGAGTTACTGCAACAGTTTGTGTTCATTCCACATTTGTAAGGGTACTTTTTACGTAAATGGATTCGTTTAGATTTCAGCTAAATGATTTTACATAACGAACAAATCTATGTTGGTCTTAATACTCTCTCAAATCTTAAACTGCTTGATTTTGGTCTAGCATTAAGTCCATTAGTATTTAATTTGGAAATTTCAAAGAAGCAGTAACATAGTATGATGAGTAGCAGCGCGACAGTCGCTGAGTCGCGGGTCGCGAAATGCTGCTCATGAATATGAGCCTGGCCATGGCTTGAAACTAGTCGAGTTCCTCGTCAAATTATTACGTGAGTAAGCCGAAAACATAATAATTTCAAAGAAATATAGAAGCCTTGTCAACGTAAACTGATCAAGCTTCAAACACGTTAGAATTGCGATGCACTTATTTATTGTTATATTAACTAACGATAGATGGTGGTGGATTGCGTAATGGCGTATATGCATATTAATCCTTTTTGTTTGCTCAAGCGTATTGTATCTTACTATTATAAATGCCAAAGCTTTTGAGTTTCTAGAATGTTTGTTACTCAATCACGTCAAAACGGCTGTTCGGAACAGGGGTTGGGAATAACATATAGGGTACTTTTAACCCACGAGAACTCGGGCGAAGCAGCTGGCATGAGCTAGTGCTGTAATAATGATCATTTTAAATCGAATCGTGACCTTTATGAGCTGATGGGCTTTTAATAAGATTTATCAAATCCCGAGTGTTATCATCATTACGTTTATAGCTTACGTACATGTCTGTCAGTATATTTAGTTCATTTCGTGGTTTTAGAAAAAAAAATATGTTATTACCAAAGTTAAAACCACCTTTACCACCCAGTACTACTCAACAATTTATTCGAACCGAAATCCTTATGCATTGTAACCGTGCTTACAACCACTCAAGACATCAGTTGAACAATACAACCACTTACAAATTACAATTCGTTCTTGCTGAGTAACTGCATGTCAGTTATGCTTACGTTACCCTTCGCTGAACGCAGGCTACCAACAAGTTTAAGTATTAAACGAACGGACGTTCTTTTATGGATTATGGGGACAAACGAGCTGACGAACAGATATCAGGCTGATAGTATAGCAATCAACGATATCCGTAGACATCAGTAACCCCAGTGTGATTGGATCTCCGGTAACCTCACTCTAACAGCGAAGCACTACGCAAGCATTTGTTCACGCCGTGCCGGTTTTCTATGAGGCCATGGTATCATTCCGGTTGAGTCGACCCATTTGTGCACAAGGAGGTAAAGTGCACCGTGCCTGTAATCGGTGGCGTGACAATATGTCACTTACAAGCAATTGCGACCAATTGGCGGAGCACATTGTTAATCGACCCGTGTCAAGCAGTGCAATGCACCTATGATATATTGTTAGATCCTTACACTTGATACAATTGGCATACAATGCACTGGACATGTCGAGTGGCGGACAACTCAAGGGTATATCGTCTCAGATATAGTTGAGTCTGTCTGTAATGTAGCATCCATTCTTCTACTGAGAAGTGAACAGTACTTAAAAGTGCTTTCTGAAAATATGTAGATACACTCGCTTGTCCTCGTTGCCAATAATACAGAACCTATTCCGTACCTTATTCTACCTAATAACACACATTATAAAGAAACCTTAGCAACATTACGTCTTTAACATCGGTAACAAGTACGCAAAAGTGCACTAATAAATGTAGCACGACATTTTCTCTAGTTAACTGACTTATCTTGAAATCAACGAACTCCATATTAGTTTCACAGAAACTTTGTATCGAATACTAACTGAATTACATCTGTATTTCGAATCTGATACTGTAAGCTCAGTGAACACGAAAATTTGAACTAACAAACTTATAATGGGTTGCCAAGCATTCGCGTCTCCCCAACTAAAGTTTAACTTGTTCCGTTCAATACAGAACAGTATATTACGTAGAGGACATCGTTCGGGGTAATTGTATTCGCCGTTGCAAAAACCAATAAAACAATAAATTTGAGAAAGCGTTCTCTATCAACAGCATTCTATTTAGCTAGACTAGCTGCATCTAATTCAGTAACACTAGTTTTTAAACAAAGAAAAATGGTGTACATTACAACAACACCGAAAAGCTTCTAAATTATTAGGTGCCTTCAGGTATCTCACCGTCCCTGTCTGTCTAAGGAGTAATGTAGCGACAGGAATACTTCTTAAGTCGAGAGGCTTTCGAGTATATTTAAATAGACTATTGATCTGTAGGTACGGGGTTCTTTATTGAATATGTCTAATGTTTCGTGTTATGATTGGATGAGGCCGGCGGCGACCGGCCCACGGGATAATAAGCTAGCCTCCGGCCACAGACATCTGTCGTCACCGAGACAAAAGCTGCGGTGTACGATGTGCCTTTATCATTCTTAGGTTCTAGAATTCGTCCCCGACTCACTAATTTAGCGTCGGCGTCTAGCTATATTATTTATTTTTAGATAGAATATCCATAGTACATCAATGTCATCGAACACCAATGCTTAAGTTGACCTTTGGGTTAGGGTTTAACTCTGGACTTAATCATTAATTCATTAAGTATGTATGAATATTTCAAAATCTTTGTCCCCTGATTCCATCATGGTTTCCCCCTACCGTATAAAACTACATTTCCATTTGATAAATAATGATGTGATATGAAACAGGGGCCCTCGTACTTCAACGCTACCTATAATAATTTAATTTATGCAAGGAGCAGGACATGGCCCCCGGGCGAGCTTCTCGGTATAAGTAATCGTGTTAAATTGTTAAGTGTTTGCGTACTGGCCAGGGCACTGCATGCAAAACGAATTAAACGTATGATAACGATATTCGGTAGAGAATTTTGCCCTGTGCTTGTTCCTCGCAGTAAAATGTACATTGTAATTAACGTGTGATGTCTAGCAGAACTAAATCATTGCTCTGCTTACGTTGAATTTCAATCAAACTTTGTGCTTGTCGTGAATTTTCGTCGTTGAATGTTGCAGTCGCAGGAAAACTTTTCTTTACAAATGGAAATGAATAAGCCAGTACAGTTACATGACATAGCTCGACTCAAACAAATATTGTTCCTGCAACCTAGAGGTCTACTGCGGTTCTCGAATGCGAAGCTTTGTTTGATTTTGGCTGCAAATAACATTTTCTATGTTACGAAAGTTGTCTGAACCATGACAACTTTCGTAAACTAAAACAAACGAATGAAAAAGATAATTTAATAGGTTTAGATGTGAAATTAAAGATTCATAAAATCGTGGTTTAGGACACATATGACATATCATATTAATCAAGATAATAAAAATAAGATTTTTAAATTAAGATCTAACACGGCAAACCTTAAACACGATAAGAACCTCCTTCCAAAGACTAACTATACGACTAAGTTAAAAAGTTGTATAAAGATTGGCATTGTCATTTACATAACATAACATAACATCACGCCTTTTTATCCCCGAAGGGGTAGGCAGAGGTGCACATTATGCCACTGTACAATGTAACACCCACTTTTCACTATTTATGTTATGAGTCCCATGTAATAGGGGGTGAGCCTATTGCCATATACCGGGCACATTTTTCCAGACTCCGTGACTGCCTCATTGGCTGAGTGGTCGCAAGTACGACTGCCGGGCAAGGGGTCTCGGGTTCGATTCCCGGGTCGGGCAAAATATTACTGAGTTTTTAAAAATCTCAGTAGTAGCATTGTCATTTATTGACAGTTATTTGTAAAATAATGACAACCAATATTAATAGATATCCAATAATAGCTAAAATATACATGATGTATATTTTTTAGAATTGTCAACTAATCAAAGTTATTCCTCTGATATATTTTTAATTTTAATTGAGGCATAACTTTGAATATATTTTGACAATTCCTCCATACTAAAACCTGTCAAATGTCAATTTTATTCTACAGTTAAGAATTAACTGGCCATTGAAAAATCAGCCTTATATTGATGTTACTGTCTTATTAGACCAATTAAATTATAGGTTCGTGTTAACAACTATTTGAATTAACTGTACATTGATTTTATATCGTTTTTAATGCGGTTCCTTTAGTGCCCTGTGTGTTGCTCACATGAAACAACCGTGATAAAAAGAAGACTTATAACTAATTTCATTCATTTTTCATTCAAATTAACCGAAACAAAAATTAAAAGACCACTATTTTGGTTTCGTCGAAATGACATTAAACGCCCGAAGAATAATGAGTCAAACAAAAATTTTCGTTCGGGCTGATTTTACAGACGAAACTTCATTTTTGGTCGAATCAGAATAGACCTACTAGTCTTTCACACTCGTGTTCACAAAGAGCCTAGTATCGACTGTTTGCAGCGTATACAATGTTGTTGTCTGCACATTGTTTAATTTACAAACAAACAAATTGCAAAGCTAAATCCCGAATTACGTGATTGCAATAGTTCCAAACACCGAACAGTTGTCATCTAAATCATCGATGATATATAATAGATCTATGATTAGTATAGTATTATAACTCGCATAAAATATATCATTTTAGTTTTTGTTTGATTCTAGTGTGACTCGAAACCAGTCGGGGAAATATGAAATAGTACACACGGCTACACATCGAGCTTTACACAACCAGTATAAACTAAACGTTAAATGTGCGGAAAGATGATGCGACGTGATACCAGGATAAACTGGTTTTGTATAGATTGATGTGTGGCCGTATGTACTGTGTACCTACAGATAAAAAAAATGTCCACGGAAGGGATAGGCTAGTCATGACGGCACTTACACTTGTTACTACTCGCTGAACAAGACAATCGTGTAATTTATTACACAGTGCTAATAACTATGATATATCTCAGTACCCAGAGGCAGTATGACAAAGGATGGCAAGCCGTTGCCGTACCGGCACACGGCGCCACGGAACAACCGTCACAATAAGCACAGGAAGCCGAAGAAGCAAGTCTCTGAAGACGAGGAGAGCGAAGACTCTCCAGTGGAGGAGCAGCCCCAGGAGGAACAGCAACGCAGCCCCTCACCCATGCAGGAGGAACCCACTGTGCGGTTACCTGAAGTACGTGTGACAAATTATTGTTCTAGGTGAAAGAGACAGTAGAAAAACTTTACGATTACTGAGTATAGTATAGTAGAGTATATTTCGCAAAATCGAAATATACTTAATTCGACCTGCGGCACTAGGCTTGGCAGCAACGGTCGAATCAAATATTATAAAGGCGAAAGTGAGTTGATTATTTCTACGTTTCATCGACTTGCCCCATCTTATAATTTTTCAAACCTACTTAGAGAGAAAGCAGAAGAACTTAGACTTGACTTTCACTTAGAGATGTTCTACGGAGACAAGGCCCCTATATAAGAGGGATTTGCTATAATTTCCAAGCCTGGCAGGTGGGTCGACCATCGCAGCTGAAAATAATGAGGATTATCAGATAACGCTACTGGTTTCTTAAATGTCGTAGTCTCTTAGTCGACACTAAACCCTTGGAAAGAGAGGGGTAATCACAAATGTATTTCTTATCGTATAGGCCGATTAACGAGCAGACGGATCATCTGATGGTAAGCAATCTTCGGCGCTCATGGACACACGTAACAACAAAATAGTTTGGAACAGGGAGGAATTGACCCTCCGATTTTGTATTCTACTGTGCTGTCCCCACACAGCTAATTAATCATGTAATGGTTTGTTTCTACAGGAGGTACTGAAAGCTCTGTACAAGACACCAGGCGTGCTGATGATAGCTGGTCTGGTCTCATGGGACCTGGTCGCGCGCCGCGACAACAACCCCACTAAGAGGACGCATCCCAACCTTTACACCTTCCACAAATTTACTGATCGCAAGGTAACTAGTTTTATTTACACTTGTTTATGTAGCGAGTAAAAATAAACATATTGTCCTGGATAGAACAAATAGAACCAGATAAGCACCGAGGACCTGACGCAGGCAGGACTAGCAGGCGTGTTTTTAGTCGAGTTTAAAACACTGCTTCACCCAAGGCACAAAGAGTAATTAACACAGTATTATTATAATTTTATAATTTATACATTATATATTATAATTTTCAGTACCGGTTCATTGCCAGTAGCTGTTCTGCTGGCCACTCAGTGCTGGTGGATGAACATGGAGAGGTGTACACTTTTGGTTAGTATATCTTTCTACCATTGTTATATAACCTGACTACCAAATACCAAACTTTAATCTGTCTACCACAGTCTACAAAGCGTGAGGAATTTGACAAATCCCCCCTCCCTTTTAAGATGATCGCCTTTGTTTGCATGTACAGCCTGTCTCCAGAGTTTACTGCTGGAATATGAGCCTCCTCAAAATATTCGTTTATTTGATACCAGGTCGTAACACTTGCGGTCAGCTTGGATTTGGAGACACGGTGACCCGCAATGTGCCGGAGCCGGTCCCCGCTCTGCGCGGCAAAAACATCATCCACGCCGCCGTCGGACGACACCACACGCTTTTTGTTACAGGTCAGTTTGAAGTGATCAGTTTAAATATATGCAGGGAGACTAGAGACTGTCGGAAATGTGGGTGAATGTGTAATGGGTTCTAGTAAATACATGAAAAAAAGCGCCACCTTTTGAACGCCAGAGCAAAAACACATGAACCTGCCCTCAACGCCAAGCCACAAATGCCGCGCAAACTACGAAAGAAATAGGGATTCCAATAGGGAATCAAATTGTTGATTTCGTGTTTCCGGTTCTGCTTTTTCTGTCATGTATTTGTGTCGTTGGCGTCCAGGGACAGTTTTCACTTGTCACTTATATGTGACATCGGCGCTCAAAAGGTTAAGGAAGTAGCTAAAATTACAAAGCAGCATACTACGATCCTTACACACTTATGTAGCTTTCTCACATTAAAACATCTGCAAAAACAAGCACATCGGTTAAAGCTTCGCACTTTGCCACTTTGTAATACCTATATTTTTATTATTACAGATACGGGTACCGTGTACGCTTGCGGCGACAACAAGTGCGGTCAGTGCGGCATCGGCAACACTACGCCTCAAGTGCTGAAACCCACTCGAGTGCGATACAGGCAAGTAAAATATGTATTACGTTATAAGTTTCCTTACGGCTTGAAGCCGATGCCATCCAGTCTATACATATTACCCTAGATATATTGTGTTGTTGACAATTAATCTACACAGTATAAAGAGGAAAGATTAGATTTTTTGTTTGTTTGAATTTAATAGGCTCTGAAACTACCAGATAAAGAATCTTTTAGCCGGCTAACTTACTATCAGTTTTCAAGGAATAATATTACTATTTAACCACATTAAGATCTGAATAATACGTTTCATTCATGGACTAGCGTTCATATGCAAAATTTATTTGCTGGTCAGAAATAGTCCTCATATGAATTTTTAGCTTTCTAACTTGAAAATTTTGTTCGAAAGATAAAAAGTAGCCTATGTTAGGTACTCTCCATCCTTTTCAACTATCTCGGCGCGTTGCGCTCCCGAAAACAGGACCTGCGTTAAGTTTCTCGGTCTAACTATCTTTTAAACCATTAAACTTAATTGAGTGGACTTCGGTACAAAGATTGTTGGAGACCCGGAAGAGCTCCCCTGAGAGTTTTCAAGCGCTGTACCTATTTGATTGGAATTCGATGGATTGCAACCCAGGAAATGACATAGAATAGTTTTTGTTGCTGAAACCTTACGGGAACGTGTACTATGCTGGTAAAAACAATGTGTTAAAGTCACGGAATTAAATTTATTTCACAATAAATATAACTTAGGTACTGAGTCGATTCTGATGAGATTTGTTATTTGTTACACGGCATTGAAATTAACCTTGGAAAAACTAATAAAACAATATAATTTCTGCCAGGGCCATTATGATTTGCGGATGAAGAGGAACAGCTAGTCTACTGTATAACTAAATGAAAAGCCAAAGAGATTTCATTTATGTAATTCTAGAATAACATTTTCTGTGAGCCCAAGACAGGGCCATATGATGTTAACAAATTGACAATGTAATCTATATTGCAGTGGTGCTCCAGTTGTGAAGGTTGGCTGCGGTGCTGAGTTCTCCATGATCCTGGACTGTAATGGAGCCTTGCACTCCTTCGGACTGCCTGAGTATGGCCAGCTCGGTAAGACAATACAATAATTAAGTATTGGGTTCTAAGCACCCTGAATCATGCAGCATATCATCAATGTAATGCAGACTTGTTTGTGCTTTTGAACAACGTACCAGCAAAAGCAGTTTGTTTGGTTAGTTTAAAAAGTGGATGTTCATGGGTTGCGCTGACGCCTACCGTCAGATGATCTGTCTACTTGTTTACACCAAATAAAACAAATAATTCAACACAGGTCACAATACCGACGGCAAATACTTCGTGACCTCAACGAAGCTGTCTTTCCACTTCGAAACCGTACCGAAGCATGTCGCCCACTTCTTTGAAAAGACCAAGGAGGGCCACATCAACATCGTCAAGGACGTAGAGATCGTCGACTTTTCCTGCGGGAATAATCATACTGTAAGTTAAACTAGATGCATAGGCTACCAACTGACTGTCTGCAGATCATTGTAGGCCTATGTTTAGCATTGGTGGACGTCTTGTGGCTGATTTGGTAAAGTTGTAATTCTAATTCTATACTGGCCTCTTTAATATCATAAATACCAGTTGAATCAAATAGAAAAATCAATCACAACATGAACGGATACAATGGTGTCCTACTCCATTTATCAGTTTGTACACATTTTTGGGTTTTTTCCATAAGCTATTATTTGAATAGAGTGCAACATAGCATACTTTATTATTACATCAAAGTAGAAATTTCTAAACAGCAATAATGTCTAATAGTTGTACTACAATTGGTTTTCTAAAAACAACGAATGGTTAACGTGACAACATACTTATTGTTCAATTATAGTTTGCTAAAGCTGACAAATCATATGGCTGAATGTTTCAGGTGGCTATAGACTCGAGGAAGCGTGCCTACAGCTGGGGTTTCGGTGGGTTTGGTCGACTGGGTCACGCCGAGCAGAAGGATGAGAGCGTGCCGCGTATGATCAAGTACTTCGAGTCGCAGTCGCGCGGCGTACGCTCCGTGCACTGCGGCGGCACGTACAGCCTTGCTGTTAACGAACTCGGTAATATTACTTGTTACTATAAATAAATGCAAAAGGGTGTGTGTTTGGTGTCTATTTAATACGCAATCACCTCAAAACCGTTGAAGGGATCGGCATGGAGACGGGTTAGGCTGTGGTCTGGGTTAACTTACTTTTCATGATCATATTCAATAATCTCTATTGCATATTTACAACACAGCAAATATTTATATTTAAATATACAGTCGGTCATATCGCATACTCGGCATTTTATTTATTTATTTATTTATTTTACATAAGTACAGATACAGACGACAGATTGAAATCGTACACAACAATCTTAATTATAAATAGTGAGCGAACCTGAAGTCCAATTACAGCTGTACATAACCCACTTATATCAAATTACATAACAATTCCCAAATGTTAATCCATTTTTCTGTAATAAATTTTGTTCAATTCTTGAAAACTAAAAACTAAAAATTTTCTACTAAAAAGCGGCTATACAAGAAATCAAAGGTAACAAAAGGTACAAAGGGAACAACTGAGTGAGTGAACAACAAACCTGAAACAATGGCGTAACGACACATCATGCTCATCGAGTTTCACTGTGACGCAGAAGGAATTTTTTAAAAGCACTGAGTTTGTCATGAAATATATCCACTTGAGCGCAAATAGAATTATAGTTTTTACACATTCTATATAGAGGATTGTTTTCTGAGACATTATTATTGCTAGTAGGAATATTAAACAGTCGAGGAGTACGAACAGATCGAGTCGGTATTCTTAAATTTAAATACTCAATTAGGCCACTATCCATTGAGCAGTGAACAATTTTATGGAGGATACATAAGTCGCTCATCCACCTTCTATGCTCCAAAGTTAACAAGGAGAATCTCTGCAGCCGATCTTCATATTGGGGTATTTTGCGTCTTAACCCACATTTTGAGCATATAGCTCTTACAAAACGTCTCTGGATTGCCTCTATCCTATCCGTATGGACGGTATTATTGGTGACCATACCGACGAACAGTATTCCAAGATGCTCCTTACCAAAGAGCTATATAAAACTATCATGGTGCTAGGGCGTTTAAATGGTTTTGCAGATCGGAGCACGAATGAAAGCATACGGTTTGCTCTACTACATATTGACTCGTACTGAGGTCTAAAAGACAGAGGGGAGTCAAAAACCACCCCCAGATCACGCACAACTGTAACTCTCTCAATAATGGTTCCCTGAATGTGGTAACTATACTGCAATATGTTCTTTTTATTTTTTGTGAATGTAATAACCTGACATTTTTTATATTCAGAGACATGCGATTCCTACTGCACCAATCAACAATAGTATCGATGTCTGTTTGGAGAGTTTCACAGTCACTACGATCAGATATACGTTTAAACAGCTTTATGTCATCAGCATAGGCCAAACACTCACTTTTGATCACACCCAATAAGTCATTAACAAAGATTAAGAACATCAATGGTCCTAGATTGGATCCTTGAGGTACGCCCGATGTTGCCCGGTATGGAACAGAATCATATCCACTAAGATTAACCAGTTGGGAACGATTTAACAAGTACGATGTAAGCCATCTATACAGATTGCCATGCATTCCCATACCACGAGATTTTGCCAATAGAATAGAATGGTCCACACGGTCGAAGGCCTTAGAAAAATCTGTATATACCGAGTCAACCTGCGTTTTACAGTTAAAGGATTCGCATATATAATTTGTATAATGCAGCAGGTTTGAATTCGTGGACCTACCCGCCACAAAACCGTGTTGTTTTGGACTCAATATATTTCTAAAGTGGCAATATAAATGCTTATATATAAAGCTTTCAAATATTTTGGCGAAGCAGTTAAGAACGCAAATCGGACGATAGTTTGAGACGTCCCCCCTATCGCCCGACTTGTATATCGGGGTAACCCTGGATATCTTCCACAATTCCGGGAAGACTCCCTCACTCAGCGACTTACTGAAAATGATATGCAAGGGATCTACCAACGCCGCCGCACATATACTAATAAACACTGGTGGAATACCGTCAAAACCACTACCCTTAGTCAAATCTATCCGTTTTAATTCACTTAGAAGGTCGCTCTTCGCAATATACAAGTCTCCAATCGTAAAGTTTGAAGGGTCACAATCCGGGACACAAACTCCTGGTTCGCCAGCGCAATAAACCGACGAAAAGTAGTCCGCAAAGAGGTTGACAATATCGGTACCTGAAGAACCAATTTTATCATGATAGTAAACATGACTGGGCACGGTACTGGTAACTTGTTTGCTTTTGGTATACCGCCAGAATGCTTTGATATTGATTTTAAGATCCTCCTCTATTCGTTCAATATACGTCTTGAAACATTGCCGTGCAAGCACTTTCGCCCTAGCCCTGAGCATTGAAAACATGTCATAATCTCTTGGATTCCTATATCGTTTAAATCTAGTGTGGGCTTTGTGCTTGGTTGCTAGTAATTTTATGAGACTTTTAGAGAACCACGCTGGGTACCTATTGCCAGAAGCCTTAGACTTCGGAGTGAACCTTTCTATAACGGTGTAAAGATGATTGTAAAAGAACAGAACAAACTCATTGCACCCCATATTCAAGGCATGATTATCCCAGTCTATCTTTTCAATCTCTCGCTTACAGCTATCAAAATCAGTTAAAATCAGGCATACTGCAATATCTTCCTGACACAGCCTTTGGATAGACATGAACCGTTAGCACTGCTTGGCAAGTCCCAGTGTATAATCTTATTCTTACTAATATTGTAAATGGGTATGCAAATTAAAAATGTAGATAAAGAAGAAATATTAGACATGTATTTTTTTTATTCTGTCGCACAAGAAAACAACGGTATTAAAAAGAACTAAGTTAAGTTGTGGGAGGTCGCTACGTCACACGTACGTCCTATAAAAGGTTATAACTCGTGATGTCACACGATATTTCAAATCAATATACTATCTTCGAAAGTATTGAACTTTGAAAGAAAAGAAAAAATACGTGTAATGTTTTAACATACTCTACCAGACATAAGTACATTAAAAAATTGTAATCTACCATAATTTGAAAGTTTGTGTGAAAGTTTGTTTGTTACTCAATCGCGTCTAAATGGTGGAAGGGATTGCGTAGAAATTTGGAACAGGGATAAATTAGGCCTGGCATAACATTCAGGCTACTTGTTACACCACGGGGATGCAGACGAATCCAGGCAGAAGCTAATGTTTACATACATACTTGAACTCACAGTTTAATGTCATGGAGGAAGGCTCATACCAAGGCTCATGAATCAGTCTAGAAGGGTTTTTTTACCAACTAATCCCGTCCCAAACTCCTGTCTCTGGTGTTAACGTCCAAGGGCAGTGCTGCTTGCTTATCAAAGTGATCTGTTAGCGACCTATTCCTTCCCTTCTCTCTCGTAGCACAATTATAGTACATTCTCTCACATACGACAATTATAGTGCAATAGTTATACTATGTTCACAGGCGGACTCTTCCTGTTTGGTCAGACTAAGCGCACAGGCGAGGCGAACATGTACCCAAAACCAGTGCAGGACCTAAGTGGTAAGTCTTTGATTGAAATTTGTTTTAAATAAACAGTAGCTTTTCACTAACTGTTAGTGAGATTTTCGAAACTTCCTGATAACTGTCGAAAAACGGGTGATAATGCAACTTTCCTGGTGTTGCACGATGTTGTGCTTCGGCTTTATCGACATCAACAGCTTATGTGACTTGCTGAACTATGCCCTCTTAATCCTCATAACAGAGGTTAACGTAAGGGGTTGGAGCTACTATATTAAACGTTTTAACGTCGGTTTATAAATGTCCTCAGGCTGGAATATTCGCAGCGTGGGCACCAGCAACACTTCGATCGTGATCGCAGCGGACGACTCGCTCGTTGCCTGGGGCGTGTCACCCACCTATGGGGAACTGGTAAGCATTTACAGTTTAAACACCGTTCATGTAATTTAGTTATTCTCGCATGAAAGAAATCTTAATATATATTTTTTTGTTTGTAAACTTGCCAAAGACAGTAGAAAATCCTGGTGTTGCCCACACTATTGAGTGTATAAAAATCAAATTAGGCAATGTACGTTTTGAGAGTATTCTTAAACTTGTCATAATACTCATTCCATAGTGCAATAAGCTGACCCCTAATTAATCGTAATTAAATGAAATCCATAAGAAGCATAAACAAAAGTCTATGTAACAGACATATTTGTGTTTAAAGATTTTTTGTTAATGTTAGTTAAAATACTTAAGGATTTTTGTTTAATAATTTAGTTACGTTATTATATTCAATACTAAGTACAAATACTCACAATTACAGGGCACAGGCGACATCAACAAGTCGTCGGCGCGCCCCAAGGAAGTGACTCGTATGGACGGGCTGAACATTACTCAGGTCACTATGGGGTACTCTCACACTCTGCTCCTCTGTGACGACGCTGGCGAGGAGGTCAAGGCCAAGCTCGCTTCGATGCCTACCTTCAACCCATAACTGCCTCAACTAGAACAACACTAAACGAACCACACTAAGGGACGACATTCAATGTAACTAATTGTCCACAAGCTAAGAACAATTTTCTATACTGATTATCATAGATAAGCATTTAAATTTTCAAGTTTACTATTGTCACCTTAAGCATGCCTTTACTGTATTAAAGAAGTAGTAATGTCGCCTCTTAGTCCTTACTGACCGTTTTTGTTGAGATTGGGACACGATCTACGACTTTCAAATCCGGCAATAGTATTATTATTGATTGTCATAATACTATATGAAACGTTTTTCTCCCGCTCTCAACAAACACTCGCTGCCACATGCGATAGCCGGCCTATTGAAGTTTCATCGTAATATATAATTTTGAAGTCGATTATGATTGTTGTCCAGTAGGTATCATAATTTCTAACTAGTAAGATTGTATTGTTTTATAATTTTGTAATGGTGTTAGTTGCAATTTAACTTGAACTTTGAATCTATCGATAATGAATGATTTCCCAACATGTTACTTTGTAATTCGTTTTAACTGTTGTCTCAACTTCCGTCTGCTAGATAATTGACTGCATATAGATTTTTTATAGTTGAAATGTTAATATTATACGCTATTGAATGTTTGCTTTCCGATTGTCGAACAACCTGTCTTAATACAAATATTACCTGAAATCGATTTTATAGGGAAACTACAATAGTTTCAATGCGACATGAAGATACTGCATTGAGTGCAGTGATTCTTAAAACTAGAATCAAGAGAAGCTCTTGTATCCAAGTCTAGCAATCTCGGTACAAGTTAGCTTGCAGTTTCCAGCCTTAGCAGGGTTACCACCGAAGGCAGATCATTCGCCACAGGAAAACACATTGATATGTAAGCGCATATAACTGGTTTTCTATAAGTATTGTTGCTTTAAATATGTGATTATTTATATTCCTGTTTCCGATTCTATATCTATGTATAATATTGTTGTAGTAGAATTTTGCAGTTTTGTGATTATACAACTGATATCATACCTCAAAAGCGAACTACTGGGAAGGATTACATTTCGTGTTCGAAGCCGTAGTCTCAGGATGAAACTGTTCTTGCTCTTGCCCAAGTAGGAAGTGCTGTCGCTTACCAATCATGAATATTCCCTGTTGAGCTGTACATAAGCTGGCAGCGGTAACTATTTTATTGTTATTTGCCTATCTAAGCAATTTTGTACCCTTAAAATCATTCGATCATTTGATTATCAAAGTCCAAGCGCTGATTATCCATCGAATTATGTTTGATTGTAAAATAAGGTCTTTTTACTTTTTAATTACCTTATAATAATAATTAGTAAATATGGTTTTAATATAAGTTTTGACTTGCGTTGCTCAGTATTTACTGTTGCAAAAAATTAAAGTAGGTTTTAATGTGTGTTGTTACCCCAGTATAAAAGTACTCCTAGATAGATAAGAGTGGTATTAAATTAACATAATTCGCTAACCTCTGGTAATTACTATTGTTAGGTGCAATTATGTAATATGCAATTATGAACTAGTCGTTAGACTAGTGAATCGTTATGCGGATATTACGTATTGTCGTTTAATAAATATTGTTGAAACTTCCTCTTGCGGTAATACATTAAAAACTGCGACACAAAATTTTGTATTTGGCTGATATACATCACCTCTCTAGGTACTGCTCTCTTACTGGAGTGACACACACAGTTTAGAAGAAGTAATTTTAATAAATAAATTATTGTGTATAGATGTCGAACTTAAACGAATTTCGTGAGACATTCACCACTTATGATTGTTCTTCGGTTGGAATAAATAGCCAGATAAACAGTACAAATACGCACTTGAACCAGTAACTTTTACTAGAGTGTAAGTCGTAAACTGAATTCACTAACACATTTATGCCATCAAAATAATATTTTACATAATTATCTCGCCACCTCTTGAAAGTATTAAATAATGAAACTGTTCCAACCATCATTTTATGCATGTTGTTGTTCCCTGACAACAAAATACTCTCGAAGTGTATTTGTATATGCACTCAGTTTATGTTGTCAGAGAACACATATTAACACTTGTGCACTTGTTGGTTTCGCCGACAGAATTCCAACCACAAAAGAAGGACAACTTTTTATCAAAGATTATGCACTGTGATTGACAATAGATACATTACCAGGATTCAGTTCAATCAGTCTCGCGAAATTTGTGCCAGGGTCTAAGAAAGTGGATTAGTACCGAACACGACTAATGTTTGGTATAGTACATAACTACAAAAGGGGACAGATTCGCCTGACTTCCGCTAAGTTAATGTTTGCTTGCGTATGACGAGAGCAATTCTCTAGTCCCGCCCCGTTTTATTCTTCTTTATTAATATCTTCTGATTTATTTCGTGTCGGGATCCAAGACAGTTATTCATGTCCCTGAGATGCACAGGACTTCAGTGTTTTCATGGTTGTATCTACTGTAGATCCTGGTTTAACTCGTCGAGTACCGGTTTTATAGACACAATTAAAGAACAATAGGTCGCGGTCACCGGTGACCGCTTGGTGTTTGACAGTTTAAAGAAGTTGCAGCGGTTTTGGGAGATTGTGACGTACTTGTCCCATTAAAAGCCCCACCGTTGACCGTGACGAATAGTGGCGCTGGCGGCCGCACACCATCAAACGCACCATCGACTAATTGCATGGCTTGCGTCACTAAACTGCGACGTTATTACTTCTCTATTAGATGAGAAGTTCATACGGCTTGTGCGGCTTGATGGTTTTACCAGGTTCAAACAATAACATTTTAAAATGATCAAGCGGATCTATCCCTCATCATATTGACTGAAACTTACCCATTGTTTTCAAACATCTAGTAGCATCACACTCCGTATTACATGCCCATGGAAATGAAGAGGTGACTCACTTATTCCGAATATCAAACGCTACTCGATTTTAAGACGCGGTTGGCTAGCTCTGTCACCACATATTCCTTATAAAATGACAATGATGGCACGACATTTAAGTATAACCTGAAATTGAGTAGCCTTTTGAGTATTCGGGCGTTACTCGTCTATTTTAAATGACAACTCAAGATGCATGGTTCGAATTTTTTGTTAGTAGAGTTATTCCGATTTGTTAATTAATCTTTCGTCATTCCTATTTTAGTGAATAATGTAATGTTGGGTAAACAGTCCACTTCCTTAGGCCCGCCGCGGCCAACGCCCACCTCACTTCGATCATTCTAGTATACGATTAAGTATAATAACAATTTTTATGGAAACACAATTATAGAACAACTCGTTCGCGAGATTTTCTACTTTATGATTCTTTAGGATAAGCATAGCTGTAACTGATCGTACTTATTTAATGTTTATAAGTGTAGGTGTATGTTCACATTCCCTCTGCCGGGCCCCATCTCGTTGGACTTTTATTTTCCACGTTACTGTTTCGGGCCACTGGTGACTATAGACTGAATTTTACTCGAAATCTAGAATAACGAACAATATTATCATATGATGATGAACCTTGGAAGCAACCACAAACTAAATAAAATGTCATTTTCTTACTGAAGTAATGTAATCATTGGCTGAGAAGATACTTACTCATCGCCTGTTCTCATCTGATAACTTAAGGTTGTTATAAAATATTTTGTTCAGAGGAATAACAATCTCATTTCCGGTCAGGACTAACGGGTACAAAGTATTTGTCATAATGTAACCTTGCCAACTGTAACATTTGATAAATAAACTTTTTTTTTCAATGTATGTCATTGTTTTTATTATTATGATCTTTGCATACCTTACTTTACTAATGCGCCTACTAACAAAGAAATCAATAAGTGTGAAGTGTCCAATATCTGGCATTCAACTAGTAGTGGGCAAACTCAGGTATTTTATCATCCAAGATGATGGATATTTATGATTTTTGCGGATTGGATGATGATTCATCATATTACAACCTGATGCCTGCGGCTTCGCTCGTGTGGATTACAGATCTAGTGACTAACCTAATAAATGTCAAAGTCAAAGCATTTATTTCAATTAAACCATTGTTTGGTACTTTTGAAACGTCAACAAATACAAAATAAATAATAGTCTGTCAGTCAGTCCGTCAGTGAAACTAGGTGAAGGTGCTCATTCCAAAAAGTAGATTCGAATGGAGAAGAACGAGCAAGAAACTCCATTCGTTACTCTTTTTAAAAAAGTATGTTCTACAATGTCTCTGATACATATTTCCATACTGTACGCATATGTAAGAACAATGCAAAGACACGCTTGACGCATTATACTAATAACTTACTAAAATTTAAAAAAAAAATCTTGAAAGTCCAACATGGTGCTCACATATGCGTACTGACAATCCATATAACAAAAGCAAGCCGCCGCCGTATTCTGCTCTTTAGCGGTAATTTTTTTGATGACGGTAACACTGTTGTCTAAACTGATTTGCTTCATTCAATTCAATCATGGATATTTTTTTGGGGGGGAAATCATCGAATGACTGCTCCCGCCTGGGTGAGGCGGAAGGGAGTGTTAGACTCATACTGACTAAAAACCACCCCGTTCCTTCTCCTGCCCTGCCTGCCTGGAGCCCCGGTTACCCGTTAGGTTCTCCGCGACAATTCAATCATGGATGGGTAAATTCCACAGATCTACTATAATATGGACCAGAAGTAATGATCTATAGCTTATTTGCTTATACAAATATATATCAAATCGATATAGAAATATGAAACCAAACTTTGTCTCTTTTTAATCAATGTGTAACCTAATTTGAAGAAAGAGACGTCATGTTGTTTGTTTATTCTCTGCTTGGCAACATTTCTACATTTCTGACAACCTCGCGTGCCAGCCGCCCACAGACCTACTATAATATGGACCAGAAATACCTACCATACCTACTAGAAACCGAGGCCTAAAAATGGCTGCCATTGCTAGGGAAGTACTGTAGTCAAAACCAAAAAGTATCGATATCGATAGCAGAGTTTTATACATTAAAAATCTTCTGGTACTTTGGATTTTTTTTAAAGGTACAAATCATCGAATGACTTCAAGCCACTTCTGACGCAGCACTTCATTTTTAGGGAATTTGTGGAAATAAAAAAAAACTAAAATTATTTCAGTTTTGTACATTTAGTGGTACAAATCATAGACTGAACTAAATGAAAGTACCTACCTACTGTATGAAGAATTGATATTATTATGTTATGGTACTATCCCTATTTTTATTTCTATTCTGTAAGATTTATTTTCAAAATGGTCTCTTCAGACCCTTTATTTTGATACTCTACTCTACTGGACTCCATAACATACAAACTAAAAATATGTTAGTTTCTTATCGATATGTTATTAAATAAAATACATCACTATTTGTAAATCGTCATTTGTATTGTAAACAAAACTTAAACAAATTTAGCAAATGAAGTTAGTTATCATAAACAAATGTAATGTACATTTGGGGGCTTTTATTCTATATATAAAACAAGGCTAGATAAACAAGAAAACTAATAGTATGATAAAGTTTTTTCTTAAAATACGGCTACTAACCTGTGTTTACGCACAAGAATGGAATTTCTTTAGTGAAACTCAAAAGAACTTTAGAATTATGTATATTACAATAATTTTTGGAGACATAAAAAAGCAGAGATGGTGACTGTTCGAAATCGGTAGTAGAATAGACTGGTGCAACAATCTACCCGCTGTTGAAGATTGTAAAAATAAATGTCATATAAAAATAATTTAACTAGACGTAAATCATCTAACGACGAATTGCTATGCGTATTGAAGTAGGCGCGTACATAGACTCCCCCCGTTGAAGGTCTATGATCTTCAACCTTGAATATCATCTTCATTCGGTAG